ATTTCTCCAGCTTTTTCAGCAGGCACATTAAGAATATTTAATTTAAAAATCCCTATCGGTGGGGTAGGAATTTATGAATAACACATTTTGTTTGTCCATTGCTTCTGCAGTTTCAGATAAAAAGTTGAACGTCTGGGATTTCACTGGTAAAATACAAGCAGAGAACTAAACCTATTGTGGTATTGAAAATAAAGAGAAGACAAACAACCAGAAGTTGGCTCTGAGGCTGACACTGAAGAGAGAATCAAACTAATGGAAGGATATCATAGAGCAGAGCTAATGGACAGGAATGACTTTGTGAAACAATTCAGAAGAAATTGCAAATCTGAGAAAGATTTCAGAGGTGTCAACTCTAGAACAGTGGTAACATAATATCAGAGTTGAGTCTGGATTAGGTTCTCTTAGGTGGATCCTCTATATTTCTCTAACGATGGTGAGAGTCATCTTGGAAATCTCTCTAATGATGGTGAGAGTCAGCTTGGATTCTCAAATGTCACTTCTCTCTAATTTTGTTAACAAACAGGTTTTGAAGGTTTTTTTTAATCTTTTTTTTTTCAAAACAAAGAACAAAATATATTTTTCAGTCTAATGAGAACTTTTACTTCAGATTAAGGAAAAGGACAAACAATAAAAACAAAAATAAAATCTTCAGGAGAGAGAGAGAGACCCATGACTCACTCTATTACAATCAGCAACAGAACCAAAACACAAAAAGCATAGTCATGCATCAGTCCATGATGCTCCTCCCTAAGAAGACATCTCTCTTCAATTACATATATATGCACACCACAGCCTCCTTCTCAGCATGTTTGAAGTTTCATCTACCAGAATCACTGTGGTGTTCCTTTTGATTTGGGAAACTTTCTGTCTGTGAGATTAGCATGTTGAGAAATTCAATATGGTGAAACATAGTTTGGAATACTTACGGTCAAATTCATGCCAGGTGTGACTTCATTGTATTATACCAGACATGAATCTTGCCCTTAATGCTTTGGTCCAGTATTAACAGATGTCTAGTGTAGGAAAATATATTTAGAAATTATTTGGATATGTAATAGCCATTCTGCACTCTTCCCTACTCTAATGGGGAAATCAATTGATAAATGTATTCAGTCTTCCTCCTGATTACCCATAACATTTAACAAGAGAACACCTAATCCAAATCCTTTCTGGAAAAAGTGATTTCTCCATCACCCCCTAAAATATATATTTTCACTTTGGTGGAGCAGTGTCAAATATTTACATGCGTCCAGCACTTTTTCTCCAGAGTGGTGTTCACTTTTTAAAATTTCTCGTTCATCATGGCTTTAATACAATCTGGGAAAAACGTCAAGCTTCTTGTTTCCTAGAAGTATGGGATCCAAGCCCTTAAACTTGGGCGAGGGGATCTGTGAGAGGCTGTTATGTCAGATGGGCTGTTCGCAGCTCTAATCTCATTTTACAATATTAAGCAAAAACAATGTGAGTGAGATTAATCACTCTAAAAATCAGGTTCTCCTACCTATTCATTTATGTACAAAATAATGGCTGTATTGTGATTTTGAGAAGTGTGTGCTGAGGGGAAGCACACCAGCACTGGCTGGAATCATTCTTCCTGTGAAGAATGAAGGCAAATAGAATGCCAGTGGGAAGACTTCACTGGAGAAATCATAGATAAAAGGAGAATGTCTCTATTCACTTACTAGGAGAGTAATGGTCAGACGACTGGAATTTTGTTGTGCATGATTGTTTGTGTCATTTTGTTTTCTGTTATGTGCTTGCTAACATGTTCACACTCTGGACTCTGAGTAATATCCATACTATTTGTGTGTAGTATTCTTGTATGTGGTTCTGCTTTATAATGCATTCTCGAAAGAGCATTGCAATAATCGTACTTTATAATGAATTCTCCAATAATCATTGCAAATATACCTTTTGTAAGATACTGAACAAAAGTCAGAGACTATAGTTTGCAGATTGACACCCGTTCCTGGACTCCAAGCTAAAGTGGTTGGCAACCAGGATGTTGGAATGCCCTTATGGATTGCCCTCATCCCACCAAGCTGGATCTAAGATGGAAGCATCTCCTCATCTTTATGTTATATTGTTAACAGATCTCTTTGAGAGTTCAAGTATAAGCTATTGCTTGAACTATGAATAATCTGTTAATATTAGTAAATGACAAAATATAAAATGGCTATCTCATTGTGAAGCAGGCTTAATATTTCCTAAGGGCTCTCAGATGCACGATAGTCCCAAAGGGTGTGTTGTAAGAAGACTCATTTCTGCATGATCCAGTTCTCCTTTCCATAATTTGTACAGGGCTCTCGTGATCAGAGCTCTTCATCTACAAATTTAGGAAAATACGGTAATGTTTATTTTGTATGTAAATACTACTGCAGGAAATTTTAGCTCGGATATGTTGAAGCATCATCACTGCTTGGTCAGATGTAGTGGAGGATTCCAAACAGAGAAACCTTACAGCTAAATATCCCTGAACTTGGGAGATCTGAACTTCCTGGTGTGGGGTCCTGTAGCGTGCGGACTCACCCCTGCGGCACCTCCTGCTGGTTGTCTCTGGGAATTAGCTCTTCCAGCATTCTGGAGCGCCCCCTGCAGGCTGGTGATTCGCCTTGCCACTGGCCCCATGTCCCTCTCAGGACCCCGGTGCCCCTTTCTCTGGGTTGCTGCCCCCCTAGCTGTACCCCCAGACTCTGGGTCTCCCCACCCAGAGGAACCCCCACCCACTATCCCCACTTCGCCTCAGTCTTGGCTACTGCCCAGTCTCCATCTAGCCCCCGTTCACTGGGGCAGACTGCAGCATCAGCCACTCATCACAGGCAAAGGGGTTCGGACCTGCTGCCTCTGCCTACCCATGGGCTGCCCCCTGCAACCCAGTACCTAATAGCCTTATGCTGGGCCGCAGCCTGGGCCTTTCCAGGCTGGAGCTCCCCGGCTCCTCTCAGGTACCCTGCTCCACTCAGGTACCCTGTCTCTAGCTCCCTGAAGCCAGGCCCTTCTCTCTCTGAACGCAGAGAGAGAGATTCTGCTGAGCTCCTGGCTCCCAGCCTCTTATAGGGGCCAGCTGGGCCTGATTAGGGCATGGCCCCAGCTGAGCCTGCTTCCTCCCAATCAGCCCAGCTGTTCCCCTGCCACAGCCCTCTCCCAGGGCTGTTTTAAACCTTCCCAGGGAGGAGCGGGTGACCACCCCGCTACAGGTCCATTTGATAGATTAATAGATTTTAAGGCCAGAAAGGAGCATTAGATCATCTATTCTGATCCGTATATCACAGACCCTAGAATTTCATCCCTGCATTGAACCCAATAAGTTGTGTTTGGTTAAAGCATATCTTCCATATAGGCATCCAATCTTGATCTGAAGACAACCAAAGATTGAGAAGCCAACACTTCCTATAGAAGTTTATTCCAGTGTTTAATCACCTTTACTGCTAAAAATTTCTAGTAAGAAGTGGCAATCTTGAATTCAGATTGTGTAATACAGTGTATAGGGCATATATCTCCACTCACTCACTCACACTGGGGTAATTCCAATTAAGTCAATTGAGTTTCAAAAGCTTAAAGCTACTGGAAGTAAGAAGAGAATCACATCCAATACAATGTGATTACGGAGGGAGTGCAAGTTAATAATGAAGGAATCAATAAATAGATATATCAGGGAAAGGAGAATGAGGAGAGACATTCTCTTTTAACAATCAAAAATAGTCCAGATCTTATCTTTTCGGGAGCTAAATTTGTCCATTAACAGGGGGAAATTTGTGTGTGTGCGCATAGGCCTGGCTGTCCACTCTGCTACTCACCAGTGTAACTTCATTGTCTTCACTGAGTGGCAAAGTAGTATTGTAGGAAAGAGCCAAAGTATCCTATCATCCATTTTGAACACTTTTTATCACACAAGTCAGGGGCTATTTCTCCACTGCCTGTACTCCTTATGTTGCTGTTTGCCCCTATACAAAAGTGAGTGTAAGATGCACTATTCTGATATGGCATTATTTTACACCCAATTTGCAGTCACTTTGTATGGGTATAATTGATTAAGGTACACAGCAGTAAATAGAATGAAATCTGTAGTACTGAAGACCACTCTAATTATGAACCTCCTGTTTTAAAGAACAACTTTAAGATATCCCCAAACTTATTGAATGCATTTTTATACTCCCATTTATTAAACCACTTCTATTAAGCAGCCAGACTTCGGTCAGTCCCTTAAATGTTTGCTTAAAACAATTTCACTGTACTGAGGAGACGATAGCCCAACAAACTTTGGAGACAATGAACTTCCAAAAGATTTTCCAGCTTCTTCCATGCTCTAAGCAGCTAAGGACAAATGATCATGCTTCTGTAGAAGTCAAAGACAGTTTTGCCATTGACTTCCATAGAAGCAGGATGGAGACTACAGTACAGTAAATAATCAGCAAGTTACAGTGTGTTTGAATGTATCACAGTAAAATGTATTAATTTATGTCAACATTTTGTAACGTAATATAGTCCTTTCCTTTTGTGTGGGGAGGGAGTTTTGAGGTGGGTAGGAGAAGATTCAGATCTCCATGGAGTTCTCCATATTCCTTGTTCTAGAAAAAACATGCTGTCCTGAATTGGGTGATGTGCTAGGGTGGAATTCATAAACACACAGTCCAGACAGCCCATGAATGCTTATATTTCCTATATTTTCCAGCACTACAGGCTCATTGTTCTATCCCTGACCTAGCATTGTTAGCGTAACGTCACCCCAACATCTTATAGAGGATTCAAGCAGGTCCTGTGATGTGGCCGCATTCGCTTGGAAACTGAATAGATCACTTCTACCAAACACCACAATCACTCATTTTAAATAACGGAACATTTTGTCTCCCCATCCAGCTTATTCACTAATGGGGACTCTGTCTTTACAGATAAACTCTAAGTTCCCAAGTGATAGAATATAAACTCTTGAGATATCTCAGTGGGTCATTAGAAATATGTTCATTGTGAATTTAAATATATATATATTTTTTCCCTTACAGATAAAGGCAAAGAATCAAGCAGAGCCTCCTGCCCACCAACATTGATTTTACATACCGACAGGAAAAGCAAGCCAACAGAGAATGATGAGGATAAGGTCTGATTCTCATTATGGATTTTGTTCTCATTTTTAAAATATTGAACTGCGGAAATCAGAGATTGAGTAAAGGACTATCATATGATCTGGAGCTCTTCCTATCAAGTCAGGATTGTTCCCTACTCTATTTTTCTAGACGTTTCTGTCAAATCTGTCCATTGTGGTACTTTATATATTGCCTCGTTTACGGTAGCATCTGAGTGCCTCCTAAGTATTTAAATACAGAAATAAGAATCTCTGACTTTCTTCTTCACCAGACTACTTGTTGTCATTTATTTATTATTTACTTGTTTATGTTTGTGCATGAGTGAGTGGGTGTGGGGTATGTCTATGTGTGAAACGCAGTTGATGGAAAACTAAAGAGAAGAATAGAGTTCCCTATAATTCTGAAAGTGTTTTAGTTCCATAGATGTTGTGGGAGACTTTCTTTCTATCTACCCATCCAATCTCTCTGTTTTGTAACCTTGTACGTTCTAAATAGTGTTGGGGAGTGAAGGAGAGGGGACATTAAGGCAGTACTTTAATAGAGACCAGCTCTTTTTGTCCCTTTATATGCCAATTTAAATGACTTGGAGAATCAGGATCCCCAAGGCCCCAACATCAAGCATCTAGAGATCCCCAAACTCCAGATGTGTGTGCAGAAATGTCCACAAGCCATGAGAGAGAAGGACTCATTTTTAGGGCCCTACCTCACTGTCATTGCAACACTTCTAAATTTGATATCCTCTGTGTATGTAATTAATATACTTTTACCTCTTCTTAAAGATCATTAATGAAGTCATTACATAAAGATGATAATTTTATATATATGGATTACAAATGTTCATGATCATTAAACTTTTATCTAATGTAAGATTAGAGATTAACAGCAACACTGGCATTGTACATATGTAGTATTTGTGTAGCTTTTTTATACCCAAATTCTTTCTCAGTGGATTGTAAAGTCCAATGGAGAAAGTCCAGAAAAGAGCAACAAAAATGATGAAAGATCTAGAAAACTTGACCTATGAGGGAAGATTGAAAAAATTGGGTTTATTTAGTCTGGAAAAGAGAAGACTGAGAGGGGACATGATAACAGTTTTCAAGTACATAAAAGATTGTTACTAGGAGGAGGGAGAAAAAAATTCTCTTTAACTTCTGAGGATAGGACAAGAAGCAATGGGTTTAAATTGCAGCACTGGAGGTTTAGGTTGGACATTAGGAAAGACTTCCTAACTGTCAGGGTGATTAAGCACTGAAACAAATTGCCCAGGGAGGTTATGGAATCTCCATCATTGGAGATTTTTAAGAGCAGGTTAGACAAACACATGTCAGGGATAGTCTAGATGATACTTAGTCTGCCATGAGTGTGGGGGACAGGACTAAATGACCTCTCGAGGTCCCTTCCAGTCCTATGATTCTATGATATAAGGCCTGAATCAAAATCTTTTAAGATCTGTGGAAAGACTTACTTTCCTCATGAAGACAATATGGAGATTAAATAGCTAGGGCCAAATTAGGGATGTCTGTAATGAATGTGCTGGCGTGGGACAGCCCTACCCTTATACTCAGCACCTCACCCTCCACACCTCCATGCTGTAGGTAACAATAAGGAGTCTGCTGAGAACAAGAGGAGACCACTCCAACTACTGGCAGTGTCACACAACTCAAAGGTGATATGTGTGGCCAGCCTCTTCTCCTCCTTTCTTTTCTCCCTGCCCCACCAGTTTACCCCAGTAAGGCAGCGCTGCACAGAGAACACCCTCAACCTTTTGGAAAGATATAGCAAGTGCCGCTGTTCAGTGTGCTTCATTCTCTCCACTCCCATTCCTATCCCACCCGCCCTCAGCATCTTGGAGACATTATGCTTTATATAATCATAATGTCTCAGTCCATCATCCCTCAGACTGCAGCTGCTCCAGAGTGCTGCACTGGTTCTCAAAAGCATTATTGAGTGCTTAAAATTTGTAAAGTACTTTGAAGATTAAGAGCTCTGTATATGTGCTTATTATTTTTTAATCATATTACATCCTCTCAAGCATTGACACTGCATGGGAGCTATCATAGCATCCCCTTCCTCCGTTCCATTCATTTCTTTAAGCTACTGATATAAATTGATTTTTTTAACCCTTAAAACACTTATTACCTGTAGCTTTCCAGACTACCTGATAAATAAATGTTTAGGAGATTGCCTGTCTGCAATTTTCAAATAGTTAACTGGTCTATATATGCCAGGCTTCCAGCTAAAGGGCAAAAATCTCTCCGTGCAATGGCTGGTATCATAAGAACTGTTGTCAGACATACACACAGGCCAGTGGAGAATCACTCTCAACAGCATTATTCTTGAGCAAAGTAAGGCAAAATTGTCTACAAATAGTAGATGACTGAATTATTAATAGAAATAACTGAATTATTAACTTATGCAGGGCACCCTCAACCCCCCTGATGCCTGACTTCCAGCAGTTCCAGTTGCTTACCATGCAAACTGCCTCCTGCAACCACATGCTCTTCACTGCCAAACAAAAGTGTTTTGCTGCCAACCCAAGGCACAAGCACCAGCACCCCTTCCCTTCTAGCCTTTTCCTCACACCTGTCCAGATGTGCAAGTTTTCTTTGCCCCTGCATGTTCCCTCAGAGCACTCTGCACTCTTAGCTGGCCTTCTGGTTCCAAAGCCCCACCTGATCCTGAGCTTTCTGAGTATCCCAACCCACATGGTTGGTTGATTTCTTTCTTTCTGATGATGATGTGGTCTATCCTAATTATGGTGAAATGCACAAAATTATACACAGTATTCCAAGTGACCTATCACCTATGCAGTATATGGAAGACTTTTTATCTCTCAAGCTTTGCATGCATAACATTCCAAATAGGGCAGTGTTTATATTCTTTCCAATCTAACCTAGCTGGTTTAGAGGTAGATGGTTGTCCATATGGTCTCCAGTGGTATAATGATGATTTAATAATCCACCTCCAGTTTAAACAGAGTTGTTTGTATAATAGTAGCACTCCTGAGCATCAGTTTTACTTGCTGACTAATTTTTGTGTCTTTCTGTGTCAAGGATCATCCTTTGAAACTAGTAAATGAAGATGATAGCATTTCAAATGGCAACAAGCCTGTGGCATCTACTCCTGTACCAGGATCACCATGGTAAGTATATTCAGGATGAATAATAATGAATCATCAATATCATTGTTATTGCCAAACATATATTAATGGTCTGTGTCTTTATGAGTGCATAGCAGCAACAGTAATACAATTCTGGATGTTTAACAATATTGCACTATTTTCTTGTACAAAGTGGCATTGTAGATTTACATCACTATTCATATAGTTACACAAAATGATAGGACATAGCCACATGTGCAGTCTAAGACAGCTATCAAGCATTTATAAGAAAGGTTGAGTGTGCACCTGATACCAACTCAAGCTAAGAATCAATTCTTATCTGCAGAATGTAATGATTGTGTTTTTTTGATAGTTCATACCACTAGCTTGAGCTCTGATCTTATCAGATCTCACAAATAAGGAGGTCAGCTCTGGTTAGTGCTTGAATGACCTGAAAAGAAAACTTTGGTACTGCAAGAAATGCTATTGATTATTTAGGGCCTGGTCATCCTCCTCTCCCAGTGACTTCAGTGGGAGTTGAGGAAACTCATTGTCTTACACGTTTGTAATAGATCTCAGGTGATATTTATGAGTAAGTTGTGTCCTGTGAGCTTGTTTTTCTGTCCAAATCCCAATTCAGCTCTGTGGTCTCAACTGGACAAAGATAATTCTTTATTTTCTGTCCTGAACTGTTGGTTGGTGTGTGTGTGTGTGTGTATGTGTGTGTGTGTTTCTTTTCTTTACCCCAGACATGGCTACATTTTAGTGGCAGAGGAAGTGATCCCTGTTGTTTTTCTTCAGTTTGTAGAGATTTGTGGGATCTCTGGATAAAAGGTCCTATGTAAATATCTATAATTATGATTTATTATTATATTGTGTCTTCTTGCAGGTCAACATGATATACATGCAGCATAATGTCATCATTATGACCTATGTTTAAGATCCGTGATAACCACTCCTCTTCATGACATCTGCTAATGGTGAAAATGGTGATACCTAGGGAACTGTAACCATTTAAACCCAACAGTATCATAAGCCATTTATAGCATATCCTAGCGATCCATTCTTGTATAGTAGAGTCTGTAATCAACTGGAAACCTGCAAAAGGAATTTACAGCATTCCATCATCTTTAGCAGCTTGTGTTGAATGGTGAAAGGGCCATTCAGCACATCAGTTGAAATTGCACATTTCTTTGGTCCCGATTTGTGATACCCTTACTCACAATGAGTAATACCTTAATTTTCTAATAGTGCCATTGATTTCAGTAAGACTATTTGATGAGCAAGACATTACTCAAAGTGAGTAATGGTATCACAATCTGGTCCTTTTTATTAGGTCCCACAATGACTAGCCCTATTACTGACAGTTGTCCCCTGCTTGATGTGGAATACCCAACATGAACAATGCTGATGCCCTCAGATCCACCATGAATCACACTGGAACATGGAGCATGCCTGTGTGGGGCGTCTATATAATTTACACCCTTTGGGATATAAAATAGTTCTTTAAGAACAGGTTTACAAAGCCATGCCGAATAGCTAAATACATTAACAAGTTCAACAAAAGCCTGGAATTTACCTCAACCCCTCTCCACCTATAGGTTGGCTCCATGCTTCCGCAGGATTCCATGGTTGATGTAACATCACTAGGTGTATGCTGGGGTGTCATACTGGAGAAACCTGAGTGGGGCTGGAGGTTGTGCCACTTAAAACAAACCAAAAGGTGAGTTTTCAATTGTTAATGTGCTGCCAGCCCCTCTTAGCCTTGTAGGGCATTCAGCACATAGTGCCAAAGGTAATGGAATGTAGCTAATTCTGAGCCCCATCCTTCACTTCTTATTCAGGCAAAACAGTTGCAAAATAGAGTGAAGCCCTCCTTTGGCTGGTCACCTGAAAAGAAGAAAAGTAAGCCACTTGTTGTGCCTTGTAAAAGCATTGATGTACATGTGTTGTAATGTGGATATTTAAAATCTATTGAATCCCATTAATATGTTTTACATACAATGTGTTGTATTTAAAACTATTTTAAATAAATATAGTTCCTCCAAATATCCAGTGAAATTGACCAATTTTACAAAATAAAATAAATATTTTACTTTGATTTTAAAGATATGTATAATACCTTTCATAGAATGAATAACAAATAAATGTGAAGCATATTATTTGAAGTTAACATTACAGTGAATAAGAGCAATTTGTGCTTCTTGGAGCTGTTGTTGCAGGCAATCTGTACACAGACTCAGGCAGAAAACACAGCATTGGTTTACATGTGACTCGCGTTTGGAAGTTTATACACCTCACAACTATAAGGGCTAGAAATTTAGGCCCAAATTCACCGGTCCACTCTGGCTGCTTTGCACTGCTTGGGCAACTAAATTTAGTTGGCGAGTTAAGCTGGGCTTACACTAATTTTTTGTCATCAAAGTGACTTGAAAGAGATGCAGCACATTGTGACTCTCTACTTTAAATCTTTTAATGAAAGCTTTAGGTTCTGATGTAGAATTCTGTTTCAAGTGCTGCTGAATTCTGTGGAAAATTCAGTGGCGATGGAATCACAGAAAAGAGAGGATATGTCTTGTGTCTGCAAAAACAGCAGTTCAAATTGTAACTATTCACCCCTGTCTTCCTTTGTCTTCAGACAGTTAGTAATTACAAATAGCTATGAGAGCTATGAACTTGTTTCATCAGTCCCAGTGGGATGTTAATCATGAAGCCTAACAATAACAATTTAAAGGACAACATTAACTATTAAAGTGATGCATTATAACTGAAACAGCCCACTAATTTACTTACCCACAGATACCACATTTAGTCAGAGATGGAAAACTACTGCTTAGTCACTTTATGCATCCCCTGGGGCCACTTGTTTCCCTATACTATATTTATGCTTCCAATGGTTTGTCCGGTCTATTTTTAAAGGTCCCAAGAAGTTACGCTTCCTTCACCTCTCGCAATGGATGACTTTTCCACAGCCTAACAGAATCTTCATCATTAGGAATTTTTGCCTAATTTTTTCAGCCGGAATTTTCCCTTCCTTAATTTCATTCCATAACTCCTAGGGAGAATTTCCAATCTGAATGGGATTCTCCATGGGAAGAGGACAGAAGAAAAGGTTAGCTACTAAGGCCCCAATCCTACAAAGACACATGCTTAACTTTATGCACTGAGTAAATCCGTTGATTTCATAAGGACCATGGACAGTGCATAAAGTTCATGAAGTGTTTTCAGGGCCTGAAATGGAAGAGAAGCAGGGAGAGAGTGAGAGAGCTTCAAGGGCTAGGGACAGGGGAAAGGGGAAACAGTCGGTGGAGGTACAAGAGGCCATTAGAGAAAGAGCAAGATGAAGAGGGGAGAGGCAAAGGGAAGGGACCTCTTCCACTCTTTTCTTCTCCCCAGTTTGATTGACCTCTGATGGTATCAAAAGGACTGGGGTTACAGTGGATGAGAAGCTGGATATGAGTCAACAGTGTGCTCTTGTTGCCAAGAAGGCTAACGGCATTTTGGGCTGTGTAAGTAGGAACATTGCCAGCAGATTGAGGGGCGTGATCATTCCCCTCTATTTGGCATTGGTGAGGCCTCATCTGGAGTACTGTGCCCAGTTTTGGGCCCCACACTACAAGAAGGATGTGGGAAAATTGGAAAAAGTCCAGCGGAGGGCAACAAAAATGATTTGGGGTCTGGAGCACATGATTTATGAGGAGCGGCTGAGGGAACTGGGATTATTTAGTCTGCAGAAGAGAAGAATGAGGGGGGATTTGATAGCTGCTTTCAACTACTTGAAAAGGGGTTCCAAAGAGGATGGATCTAGACTGTTCTCAGTGGTACCGGATGATAGAACAAGGAGTAATGGTCTCAAGTTGCAGTGGGGGAGGTTTAGGTTGGATATTAGGAAAAACTTTTTCACTAGGAGGGTGGTGAAGCAGTGGAATGGGTTACCTAGGGAGGTGGTGGAATCTCCTTCCTTAGAGGTTTTTAAGGTCAGGCTTGACAAAGCCCTGGCTTGGATGATTTGGTTGGGGATTAGGTACTGCTTTGAGCAAGGGGTTGGACTAGATGACTTCCTGAGGTCCCTTTCAACCCTATGATTCTATGAATCTATGATTTTATGGCACATGTGAGGCAACTTGGGCACCCAACTATTGTTTATTGCTCTGAGGAGATCATATATTAATGAGACCAGAACACTAATGTCTGACTAAAAGATATCAGCGAATTTAAGGACTTCAGCTCTCATAAACATTTCCTGGCCTCCACCTGATGAATAAATTCCCATAAAAAGGAGAGATTAGAGCAAGGCAACAATTAGCCAGATTTGTTTATATGACTAAACAGTTCTCAGAAATATTAGTTAACCCTGCCTAACTACCATGTAAATACAGTATATGTTATATTAAGGTTATTTTCTTACATATTTAAATGTCGTTATTTTAGTTAAAGAACATAGCATCATCTGCACTTTCAGTTTGTGATCTGTGACTGAAACCAAATACCATATTTTCCCTTTTGGATAATGAAATTTTTATTATGCCAAAGAGGTACAGGTGATATGTAATGTGGGGGAAGGGGGTACTAATTTTAAATTAAATGTCAAATTGGGTTAGTTATGGAAAAATGAAAAGGCTTCATGAGGGACCTGCCATTTGGATCCATTTGTACAGCTCTCTAGAGATGTTTCCTTGGTCTTTCAATCAGGTGTGGAAATGTGCCATTTCCATTTTAGCAATCACCTTGTTTTTATTAGATAAATGCTGAGACTCCAGATGGCCCTAGCAGTACACTTCAAATGACTAATACATTATCAGCCTCAAATGTGGTCTCCCATCACCCAAAGTGGTAGAAACTGTGTGTGAGATCAGAGACTTTGAACTTGTGCATGGGAGAAGTCACTATTAAATTATTAGAGAGCAGCATCAACAGCTTTTTGAAAATAGCCCTGTTCTCATCTCCTCCTGGCCAGAGATGCTGATGTGCACAATTGGCAGGTGCTGAGACTGTCCTAAATGTGTATGATGGCATGACTGTGACACTCACAGTATACTGGCTTCCTACTTTTGAAGCACACCATGAGCTCCACATAGTACTCCTACAGGGACAGATTCTGCAAAAGGGCTGAATGAGCTCAATTGCCATTAAAGCTAATTACAATTGAGAGTGCTCAGCATTTTGCGGGATGCATGCACCATTTGACACTATTGGGTCCATTATCCACAGATTTAGGTAAAGGGAGAAATGTAACCATATTATTAAATAAATCAGTTAACTGCTAATTACTCCCTTCTTCCCCCTAATGCTTGGCTTCTAAGATGCCTGCCAGTAGGACTGTGATATTTATGGTACTTTGGTTTCTTGTTCCTAAAGTCTTCCATCAACTCTATCCTGATCTATTGTGAGCCAAAGACTAATGCTTAATGGTACATTTAGAGTTCTTGATCTGATTAACAGTGTCTGTGATAGAACTGAGAACTGTAGCTCTGAGACACAAAGTACCAAATGTTGTTTTCACCTAATTATTACCACATAAAAGAATAGGTCAGCCATTCTGGGATGTTATTTTCAAAGCTGAAGCATTTGTATATTATTATAATATGAAAATCATTAAAATATTAATCAGGTCCCCACTATTTTAACTCCAAAGGTAGAAGGGATAACTATAACTGAGAATTCAACAGTTTTGTGTTCACTTCCAACTTTGTCTTCTACCTTGGGAATGCACATAATTTACAATGCATTCTTAATTACTTTTATCTTCTTACTTTTACCAATAGAAAACACTTCTTGCCTCTGTTTTCTGCACTATAAAGCTATACAGTCTCCCTTTAGGCCGCTCCAAAGGTTATATATTTTTTATTAGCAGGACAGGCAATCAATGGTGCTCTCTTACTATTAGTTCACAGAAAACTTCAAATTATCCAATTATAGGACTTAGCATTTATATATCACTTTTTATGTTCTCAGTCTTTTACACAGAACAGGTTTCTTTTTAAGCATGTCTCTTTGATAGCTCTATTCCCCTGTGCCATTGAGAACTACCAAGTGGTGGAGAGCTTGCATTAATAAGATCAATTCTTGCCAGGTGTTTCTGATTTAAGGAGGTCAGGAGCTGGCCCTTTATATGTGTTTTAGAATGGCATAATGCATATGTGTTGTATACTACTTTTCTTAAGTATGCACAAAGTACAGGCTTCAGATGCATATATGGTACTATATGTCTGTAAAAACTATACATTTAATCAAGTGCATCCAGGTTTACTTGAATATCCATCATTGTGATATAATACCTCTTATTAAAATAATATTTTTCCTGTTTTAAAAAGGAAATGTAATGCAAGGAACTAAGTTAATGCAATGCTGAGGCTGACATTTAAATTGAACAAGTCAGGAAATTCTGGTTTGCATAGCAGTCATGGCTTGGGCACATTGCATATTTGGTCCAAAAGCTCAATTAAATCAATGGGGGGGGGAGATTTATTGATTTCAGTGGACTTTGGATCAGGCCCTTTCTGTCTTTGTAGCATGGAACCCCTGTAGGGTTTGGCTGGGATCCATAGCCATGGAGGCCTAATGGAATTCTGGCTAGGCCTTCTACCTCAGAGGCAGCCACATGAGGTTTCTGTGGCTGCCTTCTACCCAACGGCAACCTCCCTGAATCTATCTTATATGGGTGTTGAGTAGGCACTGACTATGCAAAACAGCTTGAGACCTCTGTGGTTCACCACCTTCACAGATACATTTTGAAAATATGAAATGTAATTCTTTACCATGGCCTCAGTTGTTATAAGCATCATTGTTTTACTTTGGTCCTGTTTTTTGTTTGTTTGTTTTTTCCCTGTTGGAGAGAGAAAGAGAGAGTGTGTGTGTGCATGTGCCCGCGTACTTTTCTGACCACTGATAATGATATTTTATTAGTATGGGGAGAAATTTCCTTAGTGCAGAGGGCTTAAGTTGGATAGGAGGGCTATCAGCCTGGCCAGGCTATTAGCCTGAGGTGAATTTCACCCATGCTGTATAAGACTATGGAGAATATTGAATTAGCCATGAGTTTAATATCTTGTTTCTATGTGTATGTGAGATTATCTAAGCATAGTTTATTAATTAAAATAGGTGTGTAGTCTGGACTGGAGATGACCGAGTCTTCTTCTTCAACCCTACAATGCAGCTGTCAGTATGGGAGAAACCAGTGGATCTAAAGAATCGTGGTGATATTAATAGAATCATTGAAGATCCACCTCATAAACGCAAGCTGGAAACTTCAGCAAGTAACTAAAGCTGTGATTATTTGCATCTATTTAAAATCAAATGCTAAATGAAACTTGATAGTTAAATATATTAAGTGAAAATTATCAGAATGATGATTTTCCTGTTGGATTTTGTGTAAAGTATTTTGTTAAGTGATGCTGCTTACAAAATATTTATTTACACTGAAATTCTAACATTTGTATTGAAGTTCTCTCATTATTAGCAAGGAAGTAAAAATAGGTGGCTTCTTATGTTGAAAGAATCTTTGATTTAAAAAATAACACCTCGGAAGACTTTGTCTTTACCTTTAATGCACTCATATTTCCAAAACATACATTAGGAATGCGTTAGGATAGCATGATTTCTGCAAATGTCTTATTGACCATGCTACCAAAAGCAGTTGTACAGTAATAAAGGATTATTTAACCCAGCTGTAAGAAAATAATCCCAAAAGTAAATCTCTGAGGACTGCTGAAAGGTTTGGCGGACATGTGGGTACCACAATCCAAAAATGGCTTTGCCAATCAACCCTCAAGCACTGTAGATTTCAGAATGACATTCTTAGTGTTGACTGAAGAGAGAACGTGCTTTGCAGTAGTGCATGTTAAGTGTTTCAAATGTATTTTTTTTTTAAAGTTCACTTCTTGGAGAACAACGATTTGCCATCTGGTCTGCCATGAAGAAGGTCAATTTGATGAACTAATTTCCCCTGCCCATCTCTATCCCATCCCACACACTTCTTTCAGCTTTCCTGCTCACAGCTCACTCACTGTATTTCTAATCTACCACCCCCTATTTAATTGCTCGCTCAGCCTGCAGTGGTGCAGCAATTACTTACATTAGTGGCCACTTATAGGAGTAGTCCCCACTGAGACAACTCATGTCAGTATTTGCTCAGTAACATGAGGTAGGCCCTCAATCTCCCCCTTTACCAGTTATTTAGCCTTATAAAAGTAAATACTGCTCCCTAAAAACCTGCTTTGCCAGCTGATGCCTGTCTGCCCTGGGCTATTACTGGTTTCCACTCCATTTAGTGTTGCTTCTTAATCTGTGTAATAATTCTTGGCTGCAGCTATTGTGAGGGAGTTGGGCTCAACACAGACCTCAGCTGTTTCCCTCTTCTTCCCTCTCCCCAATGTGGTACTTTGACAGGTGGTTGTTTTTTTTTTTTGTTGAAGTGGGGAACCACTAGAAAGATTAAGCCATGCTGTCTGGACATTAGGACTGGGTGAACAACAACTTTTCTGCCCTTGTTAGGAAAAGGTCTACATGCAGACCAAATTGATGCACTGTTCATATTTAATTAGCTGATTGCATTGGGGGATCATCACCACCAGCACATATGGATTGAATAATGTATTTCATAGTATAGTTACACTTACAAAATTCCTTTAATCCATGTCTATACTTTAGTGGTGAGGTTCATGAAGAAGAAAAGTAAACTTAAAAATTATTTTTGAAAATCGAATATATTGTAACTAAGCAAAAACAATCCCCACATTTCCCATGAAGGTACATCAAGTGAGATTTATTTTTCATCTATGATGAAAGTAAAAAACACAGTAAATTTTAAAGTGCATAGTGTATGTTGTTGATCCACAAACAATTCCCAACGGGCTACTCCTAAATAGGAGTTGTGAGGATGAACTGAGGATATGAAAGGGTGTTCTTGCAAGTTGATATGAGTAAGTGATAGTCAGGACCTTGCTGTAAATGTTTGATAGAAAAAATTCCATAGACTGTTACTATAGGGGATGTGTTAGTCTTTAAGGTGCCACTGGACTCCTCATTGTTACTATAGGAGATATATTTATATATCACTTAACATCATTTAAGAGATGAGTTTCTTGCCTTTGCAGGTATAAATTCAATTTTAAAAGAGACTTGGAACAAAATCAAAGCTTTCTTCATGTGAAGCAGATAACTTTCTGATAAACACAGTGACCAAAGGCTCCAAGACCAAATCTTCTGAAGTTCTGGTTCAGAAGCACAATGCAACATAAGTTTTGTTTAGCAATAGCAATAAAAGTGTAGGGCATTCTGGAGGATTAATTAATGACTGGGTAGGTGGGGGTGATAGCCCAAGACAAAACTGTGGGCCATTATTCATAGCCTATCATTAATCCTCAAAACATCTTTGTGCCAATGCCATTGTTGGTCTGTGTTATTTAAGAAATTCCTTTTCTGTTGTGTGTCCTATTCTTTACATGCTATTGTGTGTGTGTCACATTATGCCTTGACTATTGTGTCAGGTTATTCTGGTGAATTATAGCTGGATTTTCATTGTTGCTAATAATTTGCAGCTTCCATTGATATAAATGGGATTTGTATGAGTATTTCAGAAAATCAGCTTATACTTAGAGTATATTAGCTGATGAGGTCAAATAAATTATTTGCAGCATACCCATTAGCTGAAAATCTTGAGTAAATAAATAAACCAAATAAGCTACACGTTTGTGAGATAGTTGCCAAATGGACTTAGTTTAGTTGCTGTTGTTGAGTTTAATTAAAATTTTTAAATCAAAGGCACACAAAAATGTGAGCAAGCATAATTATTTTCAGAGTATCATAGGTTATCAGCACATCACTGAACTAAAAGATCAAGTGCATTTGTAATTCAGGAATGACATTTAGGCATTTATCAATTATTCCACCTTTGTTAAAATTAGTTCTTATAGAGATTTATGAAGGTGTCATGATTCTTTACTAATGGGTTCATACTGGGCCATTTCTCTCAATCCAAAGGTGGGCAAAATTTCCATTGTCTTTGAAATCTATGGGAGGAGTTGGAGTAAGAATGGAATAAGGAATGTATGATTTAATACAATATACTCAGCTGCTTAGAGATTGAAGACCTCATTTTCCACTCCTCAGTACCAGCTTTACACTAGTGCAACTCAGTTGTCTTGAATGGAGTTACACCAGCATCACACCTCTGTAACATAATGGAGAATCTGGAATTATATCAATTTAGGTAGTGTCAGGATCCTGGGCGAAGGTAAGCAAGGTTAGTGGCAGGAGCTTGGGTTTCCAGAATTGAAGCCAAGGATCAGAGCCAGTATCAGGGTCAAGAGTCAAGCTGAGGATCAAGCCATAGTCAGAGTGAGGAATCAGGCTAAGGGTCAGAATCAGGTATTGGGATTTGACAGATAAATCAGGAGTTATAATCTAACTCAGAGCTGACACCAATACCAGGAGTTCAGAAACAAAGAGTCAGGGCAGGCAGCTAGCTAGATAGGGATCCACATTGTTGCCTAAATGCTTCCTGGTACTTCCTCTGGGTTTATATCAGGACAATGAGCCAATCAGGGATTGCTAAGACCACTGTCAGTCAGACCACTGAAGGCTAAACTTCCCATGGTGTTGAACCTCTGGATTGTGGGTCAAGGAAGTGACCAGGTTACAGCTGGGTAGCAATGTGGGGCTGTTGTTTGCCTGGTAGCCCTGCAGACGTGTTCAACTCCTACTGATCTTTACAGGCACGTACGAATCATTAACAGCAAAGTTCATGGCCAATTTATAGACTTTAACTTTCTCAGATCAGGCGACACATATAAGAGGGCATATCCTTGACCAGTCATTTCTTGTAAGTAAGAGTCTCTGCTGTAACTCATTTTGACCATAGCACTATTTTGTTGGCACTGTGTATCATTACTCCACTGTATCATATTGTGATCAGATACCAACCATGATATCCCTTTCTCTTTTCAAAGATTTTTGAGGATTTTTGTCATCTTATTTCTATAGGCAATGACATTTTCATATATTGGAACGGTGTGTTCAGAAACATGTGTCTACTTCAGTTTGTGTATCCAAAGTCATAAAACCACCCAGATTATTAGAATATTAAATGCACTAGAAAAAAATATCACCCAGTGGAATGCCAGGAAAGGCTACTGAGGTTATGAGCAATAATATTTTGCTTTTTGTAAAGAGTGTATTGGATACAAGGCAGTATGGGGCATCTACTATTTGGTCTAAAATTCTGATATGAATCAAATCAAACTTTTTCATGGATGAAATTGTACCAATATCCCTTCTTTCTTGTCCATTCCTACCTTAAAAAAACTAAACAAGAGATAAGTCTTACAGGTCCCATACACCAGGACAAAAGCAATACCACCATAAATGTCCATCTAATGTCCATTTCCACCCCATAGTAATCATCTGAGTAGTCCAGTGGTTGCCTGAAAGGGAGCAGTTGACTAAAAGTCCCACAGACTAATGAGGCAAGGTTAAGTTATTACCAACTTATTATTGAAACATGTACTTTTAAAAAGTTGGTTGGAATGAAACCTACACCAGGGATTCAGTAGAGTTGTAGTCATTGTCCTCCCACACAGAACAGCCTACAGAGGTGGAAACTGAAGAATGGAACTTGGCACATATAGGAAACCAAGGAAAGAAAACCATGTCTTCAGGCCAGTGCCTTCCCTCACCCCGCCTTTGTTTCCAGCCAAAGGCTGTGCTCTTGGCTTACTCCTTCTCATTCAGCCACTAGCAAGACAGATTGAAACCATATAGATAGAACTAGATATAAGAATTCTTGTCACAGAAAAAACACTCCAGGCAGTTTGGGATGAGAGGAGGACCCAAATCGAAGGATTTTTCAATCTCTTTTGACAACACCGCCTGTGGTGCCCCATAATATGGAAATCAGGCTTTGGGATTTTTTTTTAGCTGAATAGAAAGGCAGTTTTTATGCACACAGAACTGTTTTCTGTTCCATATTTAGCTCTCATATTTGGACAGGAGCCATATTCAAAACCAAATATGAATTGATCCACCCTCTTTCCTCAAGAATTCAGCAAGAAATTTGGTTTGATTAATATTCAGGCAAAAAATATTAGTACAAGTTTATTAAATAGATGTGTAAAACATTGTCCCACACCAGTGGAATATATTTATTAAGTTTACTTATAAATTAAATTATTTTTATAAAATAATGAGTGATGTTTTCTTTGTTGTCAAGGAATCCTTAACCAACTTAACACTAGTGATGTGGTGATATTTTTTCAGTGTTGCAAAGAATTAATGAACTAGTTAGAATTAAGCTTGACAGTCCATCAGATTTAGTGTAGCACTCCTTCCTAATACTATACAGAGTGATTATAATCAAGTAATATTGTTTCTCAAGTTATAAATCCCTTATTAGATGTTTTTTTCCTCTGGTCCCTCATCTCCCAAGAACATGATCCTGCAGTTGGGCCCAACAATAATACAATATTTGATTTTTATCTCTTTGTGGGAGACCTTGGATAGTTTCTGTCTTGTGTTGCAGAGTTTGCCACTTAAAATTTGCATAGGTGGTGTTTACTTTAAACATTTTGGGACAGATTTTGCACAACTTACTCAAGCAAGTAGTCCCATTGCAGTTAACATGATAACTCGAGTAAGACAAGCAGGACGATAGGAGAGTTTGAGATGAGGCTATGCATCAGAAACAGAACATAAAAATACTGATACATTCTAATTTGATTTCAGCTTTTTTTCTTTCTAAAATGCATACAGTAACTATAAGAACATAAAAATGACTATTCTGGATGAGACCAATGGTCCATTCAACCCAGTATCCTGTCTTCTCTCTTATATGCCCCCTCACCTCAATTGTCTCTTTTCCAAGCTGAACAGTCATCTTTTTAATCTCTCCTCATATGGAAGCGGTTTCATACCTTAATCATTTTTGTTGCCCTTCTCTGTACCTTTTCCATTTCTAATATACATTTTTTGAGATAGGGCAACGAGAACTGCACACAGTATTAAAGGTGGATTTATATAGTGGCATTATGATATTTACTGCCTTAATATCGATTCCTTCCCTAATGGTTCCTAATATTCTGTTAGCTTTTTTGACTGCTGCTATGTTTCTTAGATTTACAGTTTATATATCTGTTTCATAGCAATGATTAACAGGGAGATGGCTTTCTTTAGAGGACTAGATGGGGTCGTATAACTGTTTTTCAGTCGATTTTATATATCCAACTTTCAGTTGCGTCAGAACTTCGCATATTCATTGGACTGTCATTGATCAATATTTTTCCTGGCCCTATTCAGATGTAGAATGGAATAATCTTACTACTTCAGACAGGACTCATATTATTTCTACGTGCTTTCCCTACATTCTTTATTCAAGAAACATGGTCTCACATTGAGATTAATAACATTTGCAGTATCTATCTTCTAGTCAACTCTGAGAGGGCTATCTATGGTGTGATAAAGTGTTTTGTAGATATTCAGTATAAGATGTTTGCTAACATGTTGAAGCTTAACTCAGATAAGAGACAATTGATTTTTATTTGGCATTGATGCCTGCTGAGCATGGCTTTTTTTTACTAGAGGTGCCATTTTGTAGAAATAGGATTGTGCTTGCCCAATCAGCTCTGAACCTCAGGTCATTTTTAACTTGAATTCTCTTTGAAAGCAACATCAAGTATGCTGTTAAAAGATTACATATTACTCTCTTAGGAATTTATTAAAGTTAAGATCACTGCTGTCTCAGCAGGATGAATAGCTCCTGATTAATGGCTTTAAAATAGCAAGGCTGTATTATTTTACTCTATCTTCTGAGTCCCTAAATTGTTTTCTATGTAGGCTTCTCTACAGAAGAATTTAGCAGCTATGGATAACTATCTCCATGCATTGTACAGATACTGAAAACACTACTTAGGTTCATTACCATATATCAAAGTATATTCATAATACTTGTGCTGATGTATTTATAAGTATTATATAGGCCATAGCCTTTTTATTTTAAAGTGCCATTCATTTTTGCTTCCCCTGAATTTACTCTGTAGTCAGCAGAGTTTAAATAATTTTAACCTGGTATATATTTCCTTCTGTTAGGGTCTCTGCTCCTGTCCCTAACCTCCAAATACTGTGATCAGAGTTTTTGAGGCTTTTTATATTACTGTAGTTCTGCCTTATGCTGTAGTTTGGTTTATGTTCTGTTCATTGAAACACAATTAATATTCCTTAAAACAAGGAGACAAAAACAATCAAGGACTAGACTTTGCTCCCTTTGAAGTAAAATGCCAAATTCCAATTGGTCTCAATATAAGGAGGATTTGACCCATAATGTAAATTTAGTATTAAGCACAAATACAAAGGACTTATTGGTTTAAATAATTTAATAATATATATTGTTAAATATACTTTAAGAAATCATACTAATATTTATATGTTAATTAGTGTGAGGCTTCAGAGGTAAAATCCTGAGTTTTGCCACTGACTTCAATGCAGCTAGGATTATACTCTAAGGGCTTGCCTACACTACCGCGCAGGGTCAATCTAAGATATGCAACTTCAGCTACGTGAATAGCGTAGCTGAGGTCGATGTACTTAGATCTACTTACCGCAGTGTCTCCACTGCGGTAAGTCAACAGCTGACGCTCTCCCGTCGACTCTGCTTGCGCTTCTCATTCTGGTGGAGTTCCGGAGTCAACGGGAGAGCGCGCAGCGGTCGATTTATCGCGTCTATACTAGATGGGATAAATCGACCCCCGCTGGATCGATCGCTGCCCACCGATCTAACGGGTAGTGTAGACAAGTCCTAAGGATCAATGTAAGGCTGTGGATCTGGAAATCTGGATTCAGATCTATTTTTAAAGTCACAAATGAAATTGTGTTTTTTTCATCTCATCATAGTGCTCTGTGTTCATATCACGCAGAAAAAAAGGATTGTCAGTCTGCTGCAGAGAGGCTCAGGGTTGGTCTTTCTGTTGTTTAAATATACTAGGAGCTCAGCACATATAGGATGATATTTTTCCAGTAAACTGCTTAAAACTCCAAAAATCAACCTAGGCATTGAGTGGAAGTAAATTCTGGTCGCCAGTGCATTTGAATTCAGAGCACTGTTACGTTGGAGATTGTAATTTGTATGTGGAAAAAACAATGAAGTACTTGAAATTGTAAAAATAGATGTCCTCTCAATAACCTTCACATTCATTATGAATTACAATCTCATCTCAAAGCCCTCTTTGGGAGAGTATCCAGGCCAAAGTAGGTTTTGGTATATTATGAGTTTGAGAGTCCACAATATCTGCTTAACTTTGCTTCCATACCCACACAGCGTGTCAGATTTAATAAGAAAGCAGTAAAATGGGAATGAAAAATAGGAAAAAGGAAGCAGTTGTGATGGAAATGGGCATTCTCAAATCATTCACCCTGTCAGGATTGAAATAACAATGTAACATAAACATCTTTGTGGTTATATTTTTCAGTTTATCAGGCAAATGTGATATTTAAAAAATCACAAATTTACAGTGAGAAGCCCTTCAGGGCAAAAATAAAAAAAAGTGTCATTTTTTGGTATTTATCACTCTGTTTTGATGAGCTCACCTAGGAGGATTTTATAAAGTATCTTCTAAAGTTAAAAAAAAATCATTGCAGAAATTAGCCAATATTATGAGTAAGTATCAGAACAAAAGGACAAGCGAAGGGGGATGTCTAAGACTTTTGTTCTCATGTAGATAGTAACTGTCTAATAATTCCAATTTTATGCATTTCTTTTTAGCAGATAAAAGTGATAGTTCTTGTCCAGAGGAAGTAAGTGATGACCATAGCACCAAAACCAAGAGAAATAAGTAAGTTTTATTCTTTCTTAATTCATATGTTCTATAGGGAAGCCAAAGTCTACTATGGATATGGCACTAAGAAGAAACTAATTTATGCCATCTGTATGCATCAATGGTAACAGCAATCCTCAAGATGTCTATTCCTTTGTTTGCACCCCTTGTGCTTCAAAAGAGCCATTTTCCATATATACCATCTATTCGTTTTGTAACTGGAAATTGTTTACATCAGAACAGATAAATGGTTAAATTAAGCTTTCAAGAAAGATGATTACTGTTAAAAACATTAGATGAAATCCTGACTCAGCTGAAATCAATAGGAGTTTTGCCATTGAATTCCATGGGGCCAGGATTTCACTCAATGAGTCAAATTTTCTGCTGGTTTAACTGGGCAAAACTCCATCAAAGCTGTGCCTGTTTAACCAGCAGAGAATTTGGTCCCTAAATTATATTTCAAGATGTTTCTGCTAAGTGTTGTTGGATTTGTCCCTCATTACGAGTTTTCATCCAATATTCTTTTGCACGTCACACCAGAATAAGACAAAAATACTTCCTTGCAAAAAAATAAAAAAGGAAATAAATGCATTCTGGAGGATGGTTAGTGAGGAATTATTTCCTACCCCAAACAGTAGTTATTTCCAACAATGCTGGGTCTATATAAGATGACATAAGGATTTCCTGCATAATAGAGTCTGTATAGATGTCAACTGATATGCTTTGAGCAAATTTTGAACAGTGGAGACAAAGTGTTTCTAAATTTCCAAGATGGACATTGTGGGGCTAATTATCTTCCCATTTATGCTGCTTTTCTAGCACTGTAGTTTTATTGACTTCATTGGCGTTCCTCTAGATTATACCTGCCCTTTTAGAGGTCAGTGTCAGTTTTGCTTCTTCAGTAGGTCATAGTTTCATCCTATCAGTGTAAGATGGGTTTTTTAAAAGACAGGGTGGGAAAGTGTTAAAACCTCTGACTGTTAATATGCCCGAACTAAAAGTTCCAGGAACTCCTGACACAGACTGTTCTTCTTTAGTAATCTCAAGAAAACCATATTTATTCCATTCCTGTGTGTTGATAATATAAAATTTGGTACCCAGAATGTCATGAGGTCAAACAGTGACTTCTCCACTGCCTACTTGTGAATAGAGATTATTTGTCCCATGTTGGTTGGATTTCCATTACTTATTCATCTTTTAAAAGGTGACTCTTTTATGGTTTCTTATCTTCTTTACATTCAAAAGGGCACTGTCAAAATTGAGAGACCCCAAATTTGACCTACCTTTTTGTCTATATTTTCCTTGCAAAGTCCATGAAATACATATTTTTGTTTAAAAAAAATACATAAATGTCATTCAGGTTGAGGCAGTCAAATGCAGCCCTGGGGGGCCCAGGCCTCTGAATTGTCCCACAGCCCTCCGCAGCCAATGCACTAGGGCAGCGTGTCTGCACCACTTGCATAAATATAGCTCCTCTGGCTTACCTCCTCCATCACAGCTCTCAAGGTGCAGCCAGTACAGAGACCACTTCCACAGCAAACACAGAGTGAGCAAGGACCAGGGAAGCTCCAATGTGATGAACAATTACTGTAGAGTGCTTTATATTGGCTATCCACACCACAAATGAATTTTGCCTGTACTGCATTGTACATAAAGGATGGCAAGTTATCTTTTTTTTTTCTTTACTCTGAGGGTAATTTGATTCACAAGCAACAGAGACTGCTATCAGGAGTAAATTTACATAGCAGTAGAAGTCAAAATAGCACCTAGTAAAAGTGCATTACATACTGTCTATAAAATACACTGCCTAAATATTGAATTTTTAGTTTGATAGCAAGGTTTTCTCACTCTTGCCTGAAACAATATATTGCTCAAGTGTAACAAATAGTGCAATTTTTATCATATTTGAAATTTGTGACAAGATATCTTAAAAGACACTGAGAGGCCCACAATTAAACCTACCTTCAAATTTCCCACTTTTTAAAAATAACTGTCCTGATGAGGAATGGTTGCCTTACTCTCACAAGGAGTAAATCAAAGACATTATTTACATGATTCATATAAGTAAACAGAATAATAGTTGACTAAAAAATTTAGTAATCCTTCAAACTTCATTGCTGTGATCTCAATCCCGCAATGATTTGACCTCCCTAATGTGTTGATATCTCAGTAGTCATAGCAAACATGCACAAATTACTATATGGTTTAAGCAGTATTCTTTTGAATTTTACTTTCTTTCTAGTAATATATAAGGAATTCCTGACATGGTCAAATTATCCTACAGGAAAATCAGTACTTACATGGATTTTTAGAAAGCTAATATTTCAACAGTTACTTTAAAGACATTTAGTCTAAATATATATTTTAAATATATCAACATTTGGATTGTAGCTGCAAAGCTATGACATTAAAAACTAAAGCATTCAAAGAATTTCTAAGAAATAAACTGCAGTTTTTCATAAAATGGAGTTTATCTTCCTTTCTTAGTTCTGTTTCTCTCTTTTATATTAGGTTTTTTAAATTAATTAGATACATAGGAGAATGGTCCAGATGACTTTACTGTAGTACTAGTCATTGTTCTGATGTTCTGTGTACCTCACTGATGATAGAAAGCTCATCAAATGTTCCTTCTGTATATTTCTAGTCTCTCCAGATAATTGCTCCAACAAGTAAATTTATGTATCCTCAAGCCGATACCTGATAATTGTTGCTTCTGCAGCAGTAGGAACCACTGAAAAGCCAGCAGCACCTGGAACTGAAATACAACTGCTTAAGTGCAGTGGGTTCCCTATGCCAGCATGTTTATGTGTACAAGATGTACTGTAGCTGAAATTAGAATTTATTTTAAAATGATGGCACATAGCCTGCCCTATAGTAAGGGATGGGGCAGAAATACCTCATCTCAGAGATAGCATAAGGATGCATTCTCAAGGCGGCAGAATGCCTCCTACAAATTTCTTACTTAGAAGGCTGCAGCATATTCTCCATCCCTAACTCCATGAACACAGCCAGCTCTACTGGCTTGTGGGTAATGGCAACAGAGTCATGGCTCCACCTCCTCCTGTTCCCTTTGGGCTGTGTGTGCCATCAGGGTAGTACAGTGGGAGCTGTCCCTGTTCCCTTGAGCACAAGGGCAGGAATTGTGGCTGGCACTCTTTTGGGCTGCTCATAGTATTGGTTGATGGTCTCCCTCCCTCACATTGTGGGCCCACATAAGGGCCACGTGGAATCTGTATCAATAAAGATATAGTACAGTTATCCCCCCTTTAAAAGTTTGTTGAATATTTTGAAATAGTTAACACTCTTAACTAGCTCTCCTGCCATAATACTGGGGTTATGAATGTCTTCTAGAGATTCTTAGGGGTTGGAGGTCATGACATATATATGCCATTGGAAAGTCCTTCTACCTATATTTGTAGTAATGCCTCAGATATAAACTGTTATTAGAAGCACTAGGATATTACTGTTCATTATTTCAGATTCTCATTTGTGCTGTTGGAGAGGGGTGGGCCACAGAACAACCAATTGCAGCGTCTAATCCTGGGTCTAGTTCTACATTGGCCCCCAGCCCTAGCATATTTTACAGTAGTCTCTGGGCTTCTCTAAATATACCAGCTAGCTATAAGCCTGTTATGCCACCCAAGAATATCATGAGCACAAGAGCCTTTAAGAGTGGGTGATGTTGGAGCCATCTCTACCTTTTCTACCCAATTAAGACTATCCACCTTTTCAGCTGCTTGAGTAGCACAGAGAGTCCAGAATGAAGAGGACAATTTGGCTCGGTAGTCTTGGTTCTGCCTTTCATATCTGTGTAAGACTATGGCAACTCATTTGGAGATATTGCCATACAGTTGTAAGTGAGAGGATAATTGGGCTCATAAATAGATAGAGTCCCTTCTTGGAACATGTAAGCCCCACCAGGCATTCCCTGCTTGTGGGGTGTGTGGTTGGGGGAGCCCTCCCTTCTTATGCCCCATAGCCCACTGGGATGTGGGAGAATACCCACAAGTTCAAATATTCACTCTGCCTGATTCAGAGCAGGCATTTGAACTCTGGCTCCTACTACCTCCCAAGTGAGTGCCCTAACCAATGTCTTCTGGGGTGAATGTCTCTTCAATTCTCCTGTTGAGGCTGTTCCACTTTGTATAAAATACTTATTAATTGGAGCAGGAACTTGAACCTGATTCTCCAACAGCCCAAGTGAGTGCCTTAACCACTGGGATATTAGGGGGAGCACCACTACCACAACAACTTTTTTTATTTTTTTTTTTTTTTTTTTTTGGGGTCCTGACTTAGGTGCTTACCTTCAGGAGAAGGTTCATGGATGGCTGAGAGTCCCAAGTGGAGATAGGTGCTTTCCTCTAACTCCCTTTGAGGAGTGGAGTTTATGCCATACTCAGTTCTCCACATTTCCTATGTAGCCTGATCTATAGATTATGTATGAGAGTCCCAAGTTATCACTTTGAGGGTAGACAGGTTCTTGTCCCGATATCAGGCCCAGTATTATTAGAATTATTATACAGTTGGGAACCCCGATGTGCACGGGTGCAACACTCACACTATAGGATCTCTTTTATTTTTACAAATAAATAAGTTATTAATACATTTAGCAAAGTCACACACACATTCTAACTCAGTAAGGTAGATATAATACAGAAAGTACATCTGAACATCCATACTTACACCATTCCTTGCAGAACAACTTGAAATGTTAGCCATTATCTTCCTCATCATCATCCCCTTCCTCATCTTCACCAGTGGCCCTGGTCCCTCTGGTCCCTCCCAAAGGCTACATCTCTCTCTCCTACTGCCCACAGGTGGTGATGCCACTTTTATCATATGTTACGCTGACATTACCATGTCTAATACATTTTCAGTGGGGGTTTCTTCCCTATTCCTTATTTTTATTTCCTCCCCTTACCGATGTTAAGGTGTCCTTTTTCTATAGGTTAGTATATTTATGATTTCACCCCATTATCATATATATCAATTCGTTCCCATGGCACTCTTGCAGTTGGATGATCCGTCCAAAACCTTCCAGAAGCTGGTGTGTGTTCACGTTTCTGTGGCTGGATGAATATCATTATGGACAAAATTCCCTCTTACACTCTACTTCCAGTTCCCCAAAATGTAGGGGTTACCTAAGTTTATTTATGCCAAAATTCATAGGCCTCAAGCCTCATGCTAACTGCTGAAGCCAATGTCTTACAGGATGCAAGACCTTGCAGTACTGCTGACTATAATAAGGCAGAATATAATAGAAAGCAGTGAATATAATAGAGGTAAACTAGCCCACTGGGCTACACATATTTGCTAGCTCAGGCAGCTCCCCACTCAGTATGCTGGCTTCAGTGATTCCTATTCTTAGGCGCTTAACTTTCCCCATGCATTGTATAGGGAGCTGGACACCTATCTCAGGACTGTGGATTCCATTAGGTGGCATAGCAACTAAAGTTAGTTTTGCCACACTGAGCCTAACTCCGCCCCAGAGTGACTTGCCCAACCTCACACACGAAGTCTGGCAGAACAGTTAATTGAACTTGGGAACTCCCAAGTACCTTGTGCCCCAACCAATAGAAGGGTCAGCGGGTCTGTTGGACCCTTGCATCCCAGTCCATCTGTGTGTATGTTATGTACAGCAAATCATCATATGATAGAATAAAATAAAGCACATTTTGTGCATCAGACCCCTTGTAGCTACATGTTGTAGGAAATACCCATTCAATAAATACTACGTCAAATTTGGTTGAGTGTGATAAACATAAACATAATGGTTTGGAAAACCTGCCCTGTTCCTCACTGAATTTTCAGTTATTTTCCATCATTGAAAGTAAATTTACCTAAATAAATTATGTTATTCCTTTGACACACAATAAATCATTTGATACAAAGAAAGTCTTATTCTAAAGTTAATATCCACTTTCATCAAAGTTAAACCATAATTCATTATACTTAGAGCACAGCAAGTCAGGTTACTGTATATATATATATGTGTGTGTGTGTTAAAGTTTGCTAATCCTTATATATTTATGACTGTTGCCTTTCCTGATTTTCACATGGACAGGTCAGGTGCACATTAGCAGAAATGGTTTATACTTCACACTCTAATTCTCTTCCTTTCATTGTTTTTTGCAATGGTAATATATTTTCAATAGCTGGTTTAAGGCCTGATCCACTAAAGTGAATGGAAAGATACCCATTTTACTGCAATAGACTTTGGATCAAGTCTATTTCATACTTCCTTATTTCACATTTCACATTTCCCACTTACAGTTCAGTAGTTTTGGATTCAACAAGCTATTGTCTGTAAGAAGCTCTGTACCTATTACGGTAGTTTAATTTATATTTAAATACAGTTTAATTATAGTACTTAAAGTATGCAGGCCAAATACTTACTCAAGCAACTAATTATACTGTATACAAAGGCAGCAAAAATCTTTTTTTTTCTACTAAAGAGATTACTTAGAAGCAGGCGTTTATCTGTAATGTCTTCAAATTGCCTATTCTTAATTGCTTAAAAATATGGGGCAATTGTGAGTACATCTACTACATTGTTTTTGTGAGATCGTGTGAAAAATTTTCAGTTCTCATGTGACAGAATGTGCAATGTAATGTGACCTATTCCGTCTCTGGATTACCACATGGCTCCCATTTACTTCAATAGAAGCTGAAGGCAGCATATGGCTTAATACCTTTATCTGCTTAGAATATCCAATGCAATTTTTACACTAGATTTTAAAGGCTCTGGGAGTCCAGATTGTAACTCCAAGTGCATGGGTTTAAGATCAGGGTTTTTAAAATACAGACAACCACATTTGCCTACCAAGTTTGCCTTAAGGCTTTGGTCTACTTTAAAAATTCATCAGCACCATTCATGTCATAGGTTTTAATTGGTCATCTTCAAAACTGAGTCCCATCTGCTATCTTGCTGTATTTGGTCAGAATGTAATCCAAAGAACATATTAAGGTAAATCAGCTGTGATAATTTGGAAAGTGTAGAAATCTAGAAAGATTCATCCCCTATCAGGAGTGACAGCTTTCACTGTGATTCTTGTCCCCATAGAAAGTTTGTAATATTCAACTGCAAATCCCAGTACAAATAAGAAACAGAACTCTATGTAAAAAAAATACTTCCTATCTATTTTGAGATTTGTAGGTTTCAAAAACTGTGATAGGACTAGAGTAAAAAGTAAAATAGACTATTTAAATGTGTCTTTTTAACTATGAATTTCCATATTTGATTGCATTCTGTCACTGCTTTTGTTGCCTTTATTGTAGTTTTTGGTTTGAGAATAAATGAAAAATCCATCTGATTTGAAGGATCATTTTCAATTAACCAAACTAAAGGAGAAACAGTCTCTCCTGCTGTCTTAGCTGATTGAGTAGCATTGTGGGTTTCTATCAGTTTCAGTTTGAAAAAGTTCTTTGTGGATACTAGAAATTGGAATGGAAGATTCATGGATCATATTACGAAATATTATGATTTAGGGAAAATGAAAATTGCTAACACAATATAAAAATCACCATAATAATATGAAGAGTAACAATTTGATGCCTTTGAAACTGCTAATGCTATAATACAATTTTAGTATGATTTAAGTAGAATGCAATTATTGATAGAAGAGAGATAATATGCTTGGACTCGTATTGCATTACTGACTGATGTAATTTATTAGCTGAAAAGAATATTTTAACTTTTTCCATTTTCAAATTGTGCAAGTTAAAGCACTTTGGATATTATTTCCTCCCTCCCCCACTCGTTGTTCAACAGTTTCAAATTTGGATGCAGAAAGTTAGTTATCTTCAATGAGAACTGCATTGCCTCTGATAATCTTGTCACCTTTATTAAGGTGCCTAAAATGCAAGTGCTTTACTGTAGCATTGAGGTCTGAAAAATTTGGCCAATATTATCACATCTTTTGGCCCTTATTTTTTAAACACAGATCAGGATATTGATAAATAGTAGAGATGGGAATAAGACAAAAAAATTGAGTCTAGGTCTATACTTCCACAATTCAATTATGGGTGTTCAAATCCAGGGCTTTAGTGTGGACCTATCTGCCACTGTAATCCAATGTATTAGTAGAGACCAAAAGTCATTCTATACTCAAGGATGTTCAGTGGTCTTTGTGACATGAGTTTATGGTTTCACTTTTGTCCATGTGGACAAATATCTGCTTCACAACAAACAAACAAAACTGCTATTGACAGAGCTATTGACAGGTTCAAACTGAAGTTTAGTTTCTAATTAGCCTATTGCTGGAGGTGCTCCTCACAAATCCAGTGTTCAGGCAGAGCTTGTACTATCAGTGCTGCACTTACACACTAGAAAAATAGTGAATTTTAGTTTCCAAATGGTGTGCATTGTTTTGTTGTTTGTTTTGCTTTGTTTTGGAGTTTTTAATGGTAATTTTAGTGATCACTAGACTCAGTTAAAAATATATGGGGCAGATCCTCAGTAGGTGTAAATTGGTGTAGCTCCACTGGTTCCAAGGGAACTATACATATTTACAGAGCCATCCCTTGGGTACGGCGAATCGGGGCGACCGCTCCAGGCCCCGCGCTTTGGGGGACCCCACGGGCCGGTGCGATTGGTCAGTGCAGTCGGTCCCAGAAGTGATGGATTTGTCACTTCCCGGCCCGGGGCCCCCTAGGGACAGCCCTGCATATTTACACCTGATGAAAATCTGTCCATGTATTTTTAATATCTTATTGATATACATTTAAGTAAAAATGTTCATGACTTCATGTAATCCCCTGCAATCAACACAGTCATGCTAAATGTCTGTCATCCTCCAGTGAATCTTGTAAAGCAAAGTGGTAATTAGTTTCTTTTAAACAGCTATTTATTCTAAAATGAAGTCATCCTGGAAAATTATTATAAATATCTGTAAAGATTTTTGCACTGATAGAGGCAGTCTTCACTGATGTTTCATTACAGGTTGTGTACATGTAATAATATGTCAAACTGTTTCCCCTAGGAGAGAATTTAAGGGACTCTTGGGAGCTTAAAATAAAGATTAGAGTTGATTTTTAAGCTTAAAAGCAATAAGATTATTTTCTCCAGTCACTACTCTGAAATCTTCACTCATTGTCAAACATAATGGAGAATAGTAGTTTTCCCATCACTTGAAGCGCAGTGTAATGTCTCATGTTCAATCATGTGCTCTGACCACACAGAAATACTTTACTTCAATATAAATATTTGTCTTAATCTTCAATGAAGGGTCCTCAAGAACAATTCCATTTTAGTAATTAAATACAAAAGATTAGCTGTCAATATTACATACTTTTTACAATGAAATCCTGCATTTAAACCTCTTTCCTAAAGCGTTTTCTAGAGAAAGTAGAGGATTAAAAAATGTACACAGTGTATTTACTGAACCATTCGTATCTTACATTGTTAAAGAACGGAAGATCCCCAGAATGCTGATCAGGAGAAGGTTGAAGTGGAACAGAAAATTGTGAAAACATCAGCACATCAGATTATTCTTCCTTTAGAAGAACGCATTGCCCATTTCAGAGATATGCTTCTGGAAAGAGGGGTAAGAAACAGGTTTTATTTATTTGAGTCTTGTAAATTATGGAAATACTATACCTAATCTGAAATCTATAGCAAGCACCTTGGAATTCTAACCCCCAAATTAATTGGAATATTTTTTTTGCTTGCTTTTTGACATGCTATGTCACTTTCCTGTAAAGGTCTGGCATTGTGGAATGTTTTCATGTTACTTGTATATGAAGGAATCACCATAGAAAAGAGAAATTGGAAAGAATTGTTAAGAAAATTTCCTGCTCTGTAACCTAAAATGAACCAAAGTAAATGGTCTTAACCCAGCATTTTGGCAATGAAATAGTGTTGTCATGAAATTGTGTTTTGCTTTGGCATGATGGCCTATAAAAGCTTCCGGCAAAGATACAGTTTGTCACTGCAATATTTTAAAAAGTGGATGTTTTTATTTAAATACATTTTATTTTTCCTTACTTTACTTGATCAGTGATGTTCAGCAAATGTTTATTATTTATTTCTTCATTTAGATTTATGTTAGCACTAATGTGTAGGCACTATTGAGAATTTTTTTTAAAATACACCAAAATTAAAAGATCCGTCAATTCCCCCTCATCAATTCAAATACTCAGCAACAACATCAATATAAGTGAAATTAATCGACCTCACACAGTCCCTAGAATCCCATATCCAGCCCTGCTCAACACCGATTTCATCCTGAGGCAAAGAGAAAGGTAGACCTTGGAGGTTGCCCTGAAAGCCAACACTTCACCTTGTTACAAACCTGGGGATGAAGAGAGTTCCAAAGGTCCAGGGTTCTAATAGTGAACACCCTGCCAGCCTTGCACTCTCTCCTATACTGAAGGAGGGGGCTTCAGCTTAGGTGCCTGCACTAAATGCAGCTGCAGTACATACACTTCCTATGTAGAGTTTTGTTAGACACCAGGCAAAGATGAGTGACACAAGCATTAATAGCTCCATGTTTCCCTCCATGACTATTTGTGATTGTGAGATTGGAGCCACAGGGCACTATGACGTCTGCTCTTCTCTCTGGTCATAGGAACTTGGCCTGGTTCCAGATTAATATAGCTGAAGTTTAAAAGGCAGGTGGGACTGGCTGGGCTTAAACCATTTTTTGCCCAAAGCATCAGGGGAAAGCAGCACAGGTTAATACAACCGGATAACTCACTTTTATGAAGAGAGAAGACCCTGAAAGCACAAGAGCTGAATTACCAGGGATCAGTGAAGCTGGGCAGCAGCACGGATGCAAGGAGCATCTTGCCTCCTGCAGAATATCCCCTGGAATCCACACAATTCCTGAAAGTTGTGCAGGTTTCAGGTGTGGAGACTCAACTGTTGACCATATGCTAGGGCCTTTGGTTGCTGGCTGTAAATTAGAACAGCCTACTTGGATTTATGGCAGTAGCCTATGTGGCCTAAGGCTTACCACAGAGTCAAGGGAATGCAAAAGTGGCATAAAACCGTCTTTCCCCCATTTCCAATCTTGCGCTGAGCACACCTCATCTAGACCAGTGAATCTGGACCCCAGATGATTATTAGTTATTGAAGTAGTTGGAGTTGTCCAGGCCATTTTAATGTTGTATATTCAACATTATGATCAGGTAGATAAAGTGTACATTTAAATTACAGCTAGAATAAATCAGACATATCAGTCCCATAATCCCCGCCACAATCTGAATTACAGATCTGTCTAATATTATGGCCAAAAAATTGCACCCACAAAATTAGACCCGCAGCGTCTCCTCTGCTCTCAATTCAAGTATAAAATCCTGTTGGAATTAACAGACATTATACATATATGCCCTGATCCTGCAAACAATTATGCACATACATAACTATGTACATGCATAGTCCCACTGTATTCAGTGAGCTACTCAGATATATAAGTGTTATAGAATCAGGGCCTTTAACCTTCCCTGCATCGAAAGGAGGATAGAGCCCCCAAATATATTTCCTATAGGAAAATATGTGATTTTTAAGCAAAAGCATTTCAAAGTGGTGGCACATATCTTAACACACACACACACACACACACACACACACACACTGTAGGGTGGGGGGAAGTTTTTAATCAATAATCCACACACTGTGGGGGTGACAGAATTTAAGGTATGTGTGTCTGCAGTCTAGCAGTAAATTATCTTATTAAGATTTCATTATTTATGCTCAAAAATGTACAGAATACTTCAAAATATTACTAAACATTTTTATAGCACCATAAATGTGCAATGATTCAGGGATTCCTCTGGCATGGTCAAAGTTTAAAAGTACCAGCATTGTTATATGAAAGGCATTTTGAAATTGCTGTACACTGCTGAAATTCAGATTAACTTGTTGGAACAATCAGAAATTTGCCATTTCTGTTATCACTTAAATATATATTGATTCTACATTGCTTAATGACTGAGGCCCAAGGCACTTACTAAACACTAACTGTCCAGGGCAAGTTGATGGTTAATCCCAGTTGGTTATAACTTCCTCAAGAAATGCAGTGGAGTGAGGTCATTACTGCTATTTCACACTGATTATTTAAATATCATTTGCCATTTTCCAGCAGTGCCATTGTTTCTTCAAAGATGATTTCTTTGAATAGCACTAGTGCTGCTGCAGGCATTTTTAGAAATACAAAGCACACCGGCCAATCAAGACTTCTGTTTGTATACCACAGAGTGTGTGTGTACACACATATATAAAATATTTATATACGTGTGTGAATAATAGAATGCTAAACATAAATATAGTTTTCAGTTATATGATTTTATTTATTATAGTGTAAAACAATAGCACTACATGTAAGTGTATGACAAGTTTTCCTATATAAAAGCCCAGTCTCAATGATATGATCTCCTATTTAGGATTAATTTTGTCAGCTCCAGGGCCCAGTCCTGAATATTCTGTACAAAGGCAAAACTTAGAGTGAAGTCAAAGGCAGTTTCGCCTTATTAGGGACTGCAGAACTATACCCCTACTCATATTAACCATTAGTAAAATAAATTTCATTTTCTGCTAGGTTGTGGATGGCGGTTCTGTGTAATCCAGTGCCTCAATTTCTGTAGTTGTCCCCTTGGATGAAAGAAGGCATGTCAAATAAGGCACTAATAGACACAAACTAATGCAGTTATAGGTTTACTGGAGAGGAAGGGTCAGATTTTGAGAAACACTCTAGAAACCCCTGGCAGACACAGAAGTAACTACTCTGGCTCTCTGTCACCCACTGCCAGTCCCCTGGTTGTCATGGCTGTGCTAGAGCATGAGTGGAGTGCTCTCAATTCAAGTGACGCCTGCAACTGTAGTGGCCTACAGGGGGCTGATACAATGCAAAACAATTCAGAGAGTCTTGAGACTACTCTAAGTTACATCCCCAGTATTCAGAGGCTGGAAAGGGGGTGGAAAAACACCTCTGGCCCCCTTGTCCTTATATGAGGCATGCTGCTCTTGCTGATTTAACGTTATTAATATTATACCAGAGGACGTGCATGTTGTTCATGTTTGTGGAGAAGTAATAGAGTTTACAGTCCTATGGGATTCAGCTATTAAAGAGTGTCAGGATTGCACACAGTTTAAAATGTCAATAACTTTTATGGTAGTATTTAGGCAATAGAGTTCCTATGATCTCTCTCTCACACACACTCACCCCTGAAATTTCATGCAACAGATAGCAGTAGTCATCACACATGGATGTAATTTTTGCTGCTGATGGCAGCTGGCTTTGGGAACGAGACACATGAAGACGTCAGAGCACTCGGGGTAAGCGGCCCATACATGTACTTAAATAGATAGCTCCTGCTGTAACTGAGCAGCAGAATTAAAACTATGCTATAATGTACAGTTTCTTCCAAGGCTGCCTTTTCCAGACAGGCCCAGAACAATAACATCCCCTGAACTGTATCTCCTACAGGCAGCCTAGCTAACTATGTCTTGCCGCTTTTGCCTGGCCTCACTAACTGGTGTCATGCTGTGGCATTCTTTCTCATCGGTCTGATGAGTCACCAAAAGCTGGGAATCTTTTACTCTTCGCTCTTTTCTGTTCTTATAAATTTTTGTATTAAAGGTACAGCCTTGGAATCTATTCATGTATCTTATGGCCCTTAGTTAAGGGTAATAACATGAACTATTTCAACTTCCGTAAACTTCTAAACACACTCTTCCAACTCAATATATTGAATTTAATGAATTTGAACACTGGTAAAAAGCACAAATGCATTATTAAAAAGCAAAAGCAAACTCAAATCTCTACTTTCTCTTCTTTCTGTGCTAGGGGATAAGGCTGCAGAGGTCATGGTTTGTTCTGGGAGGATTTTCTTGCTTGAATTCTGGATGTCATCAGAGTATCTCTACCTGTCTTCCACTCTGCATTCTCCAGTTCGTTCACAAAGTAGCATGTAACCAGTAGAAAGACCACAGTACAATGTTCACATGGAGTTTAGTTTATTGTAGTCAGGATATTTACTGTTTCAAATTCATTTCTAAAATGTCCATTACAAACAGCTGGAACAGCATGCAGAGATCTATAGCAGCAACTAAAACAATAATGACTTTAATAGCCCAACTTTTTTTTTTTTTCCAAAAAAGAGAATTTGTGTATATACTCAGGGGAGATTTAAAAAATACCAAGGATAAAAAGGGAAGACAAAATGGTAAATGATAAACCAACCCTAAGTCATATGCCATAGACAAACTCCAGAAGACAGTTGCAGGAGTAGATCCCCAGAGCTGATTACTCAGAATGGAGAAGTCCTTCACCTGGTCTAATTTGACATTGAATCACAAGATACAAGGAAACTCTGGAAGTGTTACCCACACTAACATAATGTGGCTTTCTGTCCCCTACAGTGGCTATTCCATATCTAGGGGTTTAGGGCTGCTACAGCCTTTGAACTAAATTACATTGATTCTTAGGCTCAGGCAAAAGAGATTTTTAGAGCCCTGGTTTTTTTTTTTGCAAATGCAAAATGACATGAAATGAAAGCATAATCAATGTATAAAATGAAATAAAACAAAAAACTCACCCTGCAGTTGCAGCTGGTATCCTGCAGGCCTGGGCCTGGCACCCTGCTCCAGGCTTTGTGACCTCATGAACAGAGTCTCAGTACCGCTCAGGTTTGACCCGACTGCCCCTCTGTCATGAAAAGGGGGCAGACAGGCCAAATTTGAGTGAGTGGAGTTGCAGCTGGTGCATGGGATCACAGTATCACTCACTCAAATTTGGCTCAGCCTCTATTCTGTCATCATGATGGCGGAGTGGCTGAGCCAAACCTGAGCAGCACTGTGACCCCATGCACGAGGTTGCAACACCTGAAACAAGGAACTGGGCCTAGCACCCGTGGGATAGAAGCTGCCAATGTGCAGGGTGTACGGGGCAAGCTTGCTCTGCAAACCCCGCCCTATCCAGGGCCATCAACCCCACACATACACCCCCCTTGTATATTTAAAATGGATTAAACAAAATAACATGAAAGTCCCAAAAAATAAAATAAAATATTATAAAAAAATAAAAAAACTTCCCAGGGCTCTAGAGATTTGTGCTTCTAGATCAGGGATCCACATTCAATCTTCACAGATGATGACGACCCATCCAGGGGCATCATGTTACAGAAGGACACAAGGGAGAGTAACAGTGTAACTAGCAACTTTTAAGTTAACCAATCTTTTTAAATTCTATAAGTTTGTTTGAGATAACTTTGAAACTTTCTGGCTCCCATTGCTTTCTAGTAGCAAAGCCAATTCCTTTAGATCCATTTTGCATAATCAAAAGTTTCCTGGTTGATTGTTAACTATTCTTTTTAAATAATATTTCACATACTTATTTTATTTTTAGTGATTTACTCTTCTTTATAATTAGATGTAGGAATTTGAAAGCCATGCTAGAGATTTAACGCATATGTATTGAGGATGCCACATCAAAAAAGTTTCTGGGCAAAGGTGAATAAGAAAATAAAAGATCCTCATCTCTAATGTTTTGTCCCCATTGGCCTTATGAATTTAATGATGCTTCTGATATCAGGGACTTGGCTGCAAAGGAAAATGCTTGATTGATAATTGAGCTAATGGCAGCAAAATGAGTCCGCCTGGGGCACTAGAAAGATAATTCTGCACCAAAAGAGGCGGAGTCGTTTGCATGCTTGCCTCTGATGGCTTCCTAAAAGAATAACACATTCAGAGTGAGGAACCACAGGGATGTTTCTGAGAACATCAGGAAGTCTTTTTGTTACAATTTATTATTATTATTATTTAGATTATTCCATCACCTAAAGTGCTGCTGCTTTCCAAAAACAGATGGAGGCACAGTCCCTCCCACAAAGAGTATACAGTCTAAAAGACAAGGCAGATGCTCCCCATTAGAATGTTTCTCTCCATTCCATTGATTTGTGTATATACTTGTTTGGATTGAGTTGAGCTTTCATAATATTACTAAACGGCTCTTGTTTGGTTGAATTAAGCCCTTTTAAAGTATATATGTAATCTAGGGTGAAATGGTTGTTCTGGGGGGTCAGTGGGGACTGGGATGAGAGCAATGCAGGATGGAACTGCTGGAACACCTGGAGAAGGGTGGTGGAAGGAAGCGTTATGGTTAAGGATGAGCATTTGTCACAGATTCCATGACTTTCAGAGACCTCTGCGACATTTTGCCCTGCAGCTTCAGCCCCGGAGAGGCAGGGCTGGAGCTGTCAGCCAATGGGGGCCCTGGAGTGCCGTGGGCGGCGAGGGCCTGGAGCTGTCAGCTGCCATGGCAGTGGATGCTGGAGCCTTCTCCTCCCGCCCACAGCGGGGTTCAGGCTGTCTTCCCCCTCCGTGGGCCTCAGGCTTCAGTCATTCCCCATCAGCCTCTCCCCCCACCCGTTATTTTTGGTAAAGGCTATTGTGGCATTTTATAAATTTTTATCCACTTCCCCCCAAGTTGAGCTTACAATTAGGGTAAATTTTTAGGCCCAATTATTATAACTCTCCTTAGTGCACCTTCACATAAACAGCCATAATTGGGCCCTTAAATTTTATTTGGATAAAGATGATGATATATATTGCGTTAAATTAACTGAAGTTTGATTTGATTTACTGGCGGAGAGTATTCTGCAGGAGCATTGAGGGGGCTACCTTTTCAGGACAGTGACTATTTTGTTATCTATTTGTACAGTGCCTAGCAAATGGAGCTCAGGCCTCTATTCACTACCATTATGCAAATAACTAATGATATCTTAATCCACTAAATCATGTGCGTCATTCATTCACTCGTTTTTAAAAATGTTCAGTGAAATCTTTTATTGGGGGGAGGGAGAGAAGGCATGTGGAATTTCCTTTTTTTATGCAGTCCTACCTAATGGTTACACTTTATTTTAGCAATCAGTATTGATAGTCTGGCACTAATCAGATAAATTGTCACTCCGCACACACAGATTAGAATTCAACCATCCTTTGCCACTCAATCACAATATATTTTACCAACCTGTTTTCAGAGTGCTCATTAACTATCTGTCTGTTCTCTAGCTTTCAACTGTGCTTGCCCCACACCACATCCACAACAAGAGGGGTTTTTATTGTTTGTCTTAGTTAAAGCCAACCTCTTTCTGTTTTAGGGGCTTATGGTTATAAACATTTTCACATAAACAGACTGAAACTTCCAGTAAAAATAGAATTAAAGGTTATATTTAAGGAAATATCAGTAGTCAGATGGTCAGATTACAGGTAAATAAAGATCAAAGGATATATTTATCTGGAGATAAGCAGAGATGTCTAAATAGAGGTGTCTAGTAAGTGAAATTATAAAATAATGTACAGTGAAGGTGAGAAATCAATTAAAATTAACCCAAGGGATTGAAAAATTACAATAATTTCCCCTGTTTATTTGCTCATATATGTTTGCTTCCTTATTTTTGTCCTGTTGGGTACAATATTTTCCCACACTATCAGAATGCTATCTTGTTTGTTTGAGTTAACAAGTCTCTGAAATGGTACTCTCACTTTCAGGTTAGTTTTCTTCATCCAGTTTTCCCCTTAACTTTGATTCTTCATTTTATTTCCCTCCAGAAACATTCTACCCCGGTCACCTTTTAGTGAATATTTTGCCAGGGGAATCAATGCAATTAAACATTGTTTTGGAAATTGGAACACTTCTTTATTCCAGAGCCTTCTAGTAATATTGTCTAAAGCAGATGCATTCATGTATTTCTTCAGGTCTCAGCATTTTCTACATGGGAAAAAGAATTACACAAAATAGTATTTGACCCACGCTACCTTCTGCTAAACTCTGAAGAACGTAAACAGGTGAGTTCAAAAGAGAATTAGTAATGCATGCTATCTGTCTATCCAGTATCTTACTGGTGACACTTACCATTGTAATTGTATGCCTCCCAAATTAAAAAATAAACAGGAGTAACCTCCCTATCTTCCTCCCTGGATTTAAAATGTTAACTACAGTTAAGGATTTAAAAAAAAATTGTGAATGAGATTGAGTCTAGGCGCTGTTCTTGTGAAAGTCCTGTTTCCTGTACTCACAAGTCTCCATGTTGATCAACCCATAGAACATAGCTGTCACTATTGGCCAGGATTGTAGAGACAGATAGATGGGCGCTCATATAGCTAGGACCAATCCCCAAAATAGCTTTGAAAATCAGGGAGGGTGGACAATAGAGTGATGTTTCTACAGTGATTTGTGTTACTTTAGCAGATGGATTGATGCACTTTGTACCAGCTAAAACTTTCTCAGGGTGTTTGGCTTTATTCATTGAGATATGTTGCAGTAGTCATCCCTGGAGTTAATGGATGAATGGAATTGTGATGGCTAGGTCTGTGTCTGATAGGATGAGCACAGTTTTCTGGCAAGCTGTGAATGGAAGTGGATTTTTTTTTGTAGCCATGGTTATTTGGGTATCCAGTACCAAAAGGACTCCAAGGCTCAAACCAATCTAACAAACTGAGGGCAACTGCCCCCAATAATAGGAATGTTATGAAGAAGGTCTGTTCTCCAAAAAGCTTCCATCTTATCATTGCCTCAGTCACTCTGGGTTTAGCTCTCAATCAGATGCTCATCATCCAAGAGCTTGAGGAAGCTGGGAGATGGTCGTGTTAACTTTTGTCATACAAGAGATATAGAACTGGGTGTTGTCCTTTTATTGCTGATGCTTCCGCTGATATTATCTCCATCGTTCCCCAAATGGCTTCATATAGTTATTGAATGGGATATGAAGAGCACTGAACTTTGGGGGGCTCTATAGGGAGGAACAGTTGCCTGTGATACGGAGTACCTATGGAATTAGGGGGGGAGGGATAGCTCAGTGGTTTGAGCATTGGCCTGCTAAACCCAGGGTTGTGAGTTCAATACTTGAGGGGGCCACTTAGGGATCCGGGGCAAAAATCAGTACTTGGTCCTGCTAGTGAAGGCACGGGGCTGGACTCAATGACCTTTCAAGGTCCCTTCCAGTTCTAGGAGAGAGGATATCTCCATTTATTTAAATAAATATACAGTAATACTCTTTTGTCATTAATATTAAAAATATATTAACATACCCTTTCCATGTAATCTGTTTCCAAGTTTTATTTTTCTTTAAATGTTTTATAATGTTTGATTGTGAAAATATGAGAGAAACGTTTAGAATGGGAGCTTAGTAATTGATCAAGGAGACGGGATGACATAGCAAGAAGGCTTTGTATTTCCTTCAGTGACTCAACAAGGGCACAATGTAGACCTTGCTCAATCAATCAAGCTTTATTGCTTCTTTCTTTCTATCAAGCGTATGCATGATACAATAAAAAAACATAATGAATACACATAATAAAAACATATCATATAGGCTTTAGCTTGAAGTCTTGCTGACATGGGCCTCATTTATGGGATATATTAAATACTCAAGGAAAATGATTATGAAAAGCAAGGACTTGGCATAACTATATAGAGAAGATCAAAGTCATGCTAATGCTGGTACTGAGACAGAAAATAATTCAAGCTTAAAATCAATGTAGAAGTGGAAAATAATTAGACGCCGTGTTAAAAAGCATGGAGAAGGTAAAGAGAGAGAGAGAGCCGTGGATTTTCTGAGCCAGCAGTCAAATGAACCAGTCTGGGAACTATTTTTAAAAATGCATATACTAAAAACTAATCCATGCATTTTTGAGGACCGTTACCTAAAATAGTTTATTGTAAGTAAAGGTCAATCAAAAAAGAGATTTCCAATTTTAGATGACTTGCTGGATAGAAATATTGAACTGTGAGCCAGGTGCCATGGGTCTAATATATTTTAGTAGGTGGTTTGAATACTGGAATTATAGATACTTAGATGTTGTGGCCTCAGACTGGAGGCAATTACATTTATTTAGCCATCATTCTCTTTTATTTCAAGTGACCTGAGCGGGAGAGTGGCCTTGGACAAGATTAGATGACTGACTTAATGAATCATCATATATTAGTTTCAATATGGCTAAAATTAGTAAGAAACATTATTTCCCCCATCATCAGATGCATGGGAAATTTTGCCTTGTCTGACGCTGACTCCGGAGCCTTATTTCAGGTTAAACTATCAGTGTGTAGGGGAGAAAAATCATCTCTGCTGTAAATCTGTAAGTTTTTGGCATTAGGTAGATGCATGTCCATGCAGTTTGAGTTATCTGAATTAATCCAAGTTATGGAGACTCTATGTTGAGTTTGTGAAGACCACATAAAAATTAAATAAAGGAATCAGTGTCCACATGATGGCTTTTTATACAATAAATAATTGATGTGGCCTCCTTCGTTTGATCTCAGACAAAGAGGAAGCTTGAAAAGTGTAGGTTAATTTTTCCCACAACCAGAAAGGGCAGGAACCCATTTTATCTGCAGGTGTCTGAAAGACTAGGGTCTCTTGACTTGATCTTTTGCTAGTATTAGTTTGATCGTGATGTGAACTCTGTTTTTATGTTTGTGTGTAGCTTCTTGGTGCTGTCTGAGGAATGGAATGATCTTTTATGGAATACTACATGTTTTGTCTATTTACTTATCAGTATTTCCCAAGGGGTTCTTACCACTCAGTGGAAGGACAGCATCATACATTAGAGTATGGGGAAACCTATGGCAAGAAATAGTGATGTGCGAAGGAGATATTGTATTAGATAATGAGCGATCTATTAATTTTGATTTATTAAGATCACCAAGTGTCATTTTAGGCACTCCTTTTCTGTAACACTAACAAAGAGGTTGCTTAAAAACTCCATTATTCATTGGAATTCTCTGTTGATAGAGGAGAGATTGAACACTCTCTATTGTATTTTTTTCACTTATATAGTTGAGATTTGGACAAGAATAATGACTGTGTAAGCAGTATGATCGGAGTGCCTTCCATTGGAACCCCAAGAGGCAAATTATATATTCTTTGACAAGCTCTCTCATATGTTAGTACTTCTAGAAAACAATTATGATTGCTAGCCCAGCACTTTTGCAGTAGATAGAACTAAATGATAATGGGTTTGCCAATATTGAAGGTGAAAGCATGGTAGTAACACTTGCAAAGGCAACATCAACTGGTTTTATGTATTTCATTTGATCCTATCATGCACTTATTTAGCCAAATTGTAAGAACAATTACTTGTAAGAACACAAATTGTAAGAACTGCATTTTTGGCAGTTTCTTGGTCCCTCTTTCTTATACCACTTTTGAGTGTACACTTTACCAGATCTATTTCTTCCCTTAACTGAGCATCGGATAAGAATCCATGTTACTACATACCAGTTTCATTTCAGTTTCATAGAGTAGACCGAATGATTTTTCACTTTATTTTGCATGAAATGTAGATTTGCACAGATGCATCATTCATGAGTGAATGGAAACTCCTTAGTACCCAGACTAGGTTTGTGTACTTTTTACAATGCAAACAAGAAATTGGCAGATAAAGAGAACTGAGAGTGTTTTGATGAACAGCTCCTTTTGTTCCATCATTTCAATGTTAAACAATTGTAAATATTTGTAAGCAACACATTACATGTTTATTGTGCCTACACAGCCCTTTCTTTTTCGAGCACAATTCACAGAGATATTTAGGTCCCTACAGATGCAGATGGGCATCTTGAGGGATTTTTTAAAGAATCTAGGTGCCTGCATCCCACTGATTTCACATAGGCATTATTGGCTTCATATACATGTGTACAGTGCATCAAGCTGAGCTGAAGGATCATTCAATCTTTCTTTATGTAACTTCCAGAAATTGTTATCTGAGCATCATGGACAGTTTTCTGGTCCACAGTCAGGAGTTCAAGTAGTTCAGGGAAGATGCATACTTCAAACCAAATAAATACAATGTGAATCTTATGAATATTTAGCTGTGAGCATGATGAGTGATCTACATCTATGACAAGAAGTTCTGATTAAGGTTGCACTTTGTGTTAGGATGCAGACACTAACTGCCTAAATTGGCACCTCCAACCCATTATGCAGATAAAGCGTTGCAGTTGTGAAAGTCTGTAACCATTAGATCAATCAGGCACACCCCAATGTGTTTGTTAATAAATACTTCTATATTTGTCTCCCTTAAAAAAAAAAAAGATATTTGAGCAGTTTGTCAAGACCAGAATAAGAGACGAGTACAAGGAAAAGAAAAATAAATTATTGCTAGCCAAAGAAGAATTTAAAAAACTTCTGGAGGAATCCAAACTGTCACCAAGGTATGGAGCTACTTTGTGAAGCAATTAATACTTATTGTCTCTTATTAATAAAAACAAAAAATAGTAACATTAGGTTATGATTGTTATTCTTGGCATCCAGTAAAATTTCAAAGTCAATTTTTGTAGAAAAAAATATTACATTGCAAATTGAGTCCTGTGGATGGGATAACACTATTGGCTTATCCTTCTTTTACTGTTGCCCTAAAGATTAAGGTTATCTTATGCTTTCTTTCTCAATAATACTTTTTAGTACCTTGTGACATTACTGGGAAGGGGAATATACCACAAGTGTGATAAAAATAACAAGCATAGAAGTGTCTTTAATGTACAATCACTAAGCATTTTCCATTTGTTTGGTTTTTGACAAAAAAGAAATTACATTTGCTAAAGAAGTTATCATTAATGCCGTATCTGTGCATCTCAATGAGATTTTAAGTTGCTATTGCTTGTTTCTTCAAAGCCATTTTCAAGTAATAGGGTCAAGAACTATATACAGTATAAGAAATGAAATTCTTATGACATTGCTTTTTCATTGTAAATCATGTGAAGATAAATATTTTTTTCTTTATTTTTTGACTTTGGGTAAATCATTAGAAATAAAGAAGAAATTACAGTTCTTGTACTAAAAATTGAAGATAATTACATGGCACTGTGTGCTCACATACAAAAGAAGTAAACCTTTTTTTCAGATTGTATTGAAGTAATAATTAAAAATATCTCTTTGACAATGGGACTAAGAATACTCCCGGCTAATGTGACAACTAATAATTACTCAAACGATTGTGTTTTAATTTGCAAGAACAAAACCACTCTAGGTATAGTTGTAATATTCGTGGCCTACAGGAGTATAGAGGATTTTACACTTTCTCAGGTTGCCCTATTCATCTGTGACACCCAAACTGCAGTAATAATCTCACCCTTTAAATTATCCTTGATCAGTCTCTGGTATTATCAAATAAAGAACAGATAATTTCCAAAATGAACATTACAAATCTGTGTACTATCAACAGCACACAGTTAGTGAACAACCATCATTGCCAATATTCATATGGGAGTGAACAGTAACTGAAATAAAGAAGTAGGCAGCAAGCCAGCCCCAACATTGACAAAATAAACCAGTTGGAGTGTAAAGCAACCGGCCACAAGTATTGCCACAATAGACACAGAGGAGCAGATAGCAAACCAATCTCCAGAATTCCCCAAATTCATTCTAGAGATGATCCTAAACCATCTCTAGATATAAACACCCTTGTACTTTCTGGATCCAAATGTCACAACTCCCTCTCCTCCCTCACCCCACACAATTCTATGTTTATAAGTTTGCAATCATGCATCCATACAGCACTTGGATATTAAGACAAAACTCTGGATCTTATTCCAACTAAACTTTTGTGACATTTAGATATTTTATTTTGTTTAATACCAATTATCTGAAGATCTCAAAGCACTTCACAAAGGAGTGTATCACAATCCAAATTGTACATATGGAGAGATTGAGGCACAGAGAGGATAAATAACTTTGTGCAAGGTCACACAGCAAGTTAATGGCAGAACTAGAGTTAGATCCCAGTATTGCTTTTGCAGTTTGCGCCCATCTCCCGTTCACAGCAGATTCTGTAAACCAGCTCCTACATATTATAATTACTTTTCTCCAATATTCTGTTACCTCTGTAGTTTTCCAAGACTTTTCAAAATAATTTGAGTGTAATTTAAAAAAAAAAATTAAAAAGGGAAATATCAAGTTAGATATCCAGGAAAAGAAAATAACATAATAATGACCTTTGAGTGAGTCAGAATGCCAATATAACTAATTAACATATTTCCTGACTTTGCTATTGGCGATTTCTGAGCAGTAACTTACTGACACATCATATGACTTTGTTCAGCCAAATGTCTATTTATCCAGGTGCTTACCATGCTCAGCACCATAATATCTGAGTCAAATATAATCCAGCAGCTTTGTTCTCATATGTAGCAATCACATTTGAAAATATTGGAATGATTCCAGTATGTAGTCCTTAGGCAAATTTCTTGTGTCTTATTAGAAGAGATCAAATTAGAGTTCTTTCTTCAGGTATCATATACCATGTATTGCTGAAAAATATTTTTTGCTATTAATTAGACATCGTAGTGTTTTCTATTATGATGCTGAATAATCATGGGAAAGCCGAGGATAAGCCTCTCTAAAAATATCATTCAGCAACAAAGAGTATTACGTAGCTAGAATAGAAAATAAAAAACATATTTTAGCAACCACTATGTCCATGATTCTACATCACCAGGGTAAAAAAATCAATAAATATACAGTATACGAATATGGGAATAATGATTAGTATAGACAACTCAAGCTATAGCTCAGTGGTTTGAGCATTGGCCTGCTAAACCCAGGGTTGTGAGTTCAATACTTGAGGGTAAAAAATCAGTTCTTGAGGGGGCCATTTGGGGATTTAGTTGGGGATTGGTCCTGCTTTGAGGAGGGGGTTGGACTAGATGACCTCCTGAGGTCCCTTCCAACCCTGATATTCTATGATTCTAATCATGGAGCAAAGCTGATTTTGACTTTGGTGTTGCCTCTTCTGTCACGGTGGTGACACTGACCTTCTTGAGGTTTCAGGAGGAACAATCTTGGTACTTTTAAGAGCCATATGAAAAGTAAAATGTAAAACTAAGGACTAAATAATCTGATGATATATTCAAAAGTGCAAAGCTTTAAATGATGCCTTGCTCCTGTATGATTTTTTTCTGCAGAACAACATTTAAAGAGTTTGCAGAGAAATATGGCAGAGATCAGCGGTTTCGACTTGTTCAGAAGAAAAAAGACCAAGAGCATTTTTTCAACCAGTTCATTCTTATTCTTAAAAAGCGGGACAAAGAAAACAGAATAAGGCTACGGAAAATGAGATAAGAATTCTTGAAATCTGCAATAAACACACAAGTCAATACTGTGACTGCCATAGAAAATGAAATGAAGAAACAGCATTTTTTGTCTTTTTCTGATTCAAGTTCCAACAATTTAAAGAAGAACCAGATATCCCTGAGAAATACCTTTTCATACTGAGGTTCAGTGAACACAAGTTAAATTTGTTCAGGTTCCTTTGCAGGAACCTGTAGGATATTTAGTTCTCAGAGAATTAATGTTTCATATTGAAGCTCTCTTTTGTACAACATTCATAGTTTGATGCATTTCTAATTGCCATGATATGTCAATCCCTTAATTGTTTTAATTATGCAAATTACTTGTAATATACACAAATTATAAATTCAATGCAGATTTGTAATTAAGCAGAAAACAGATGTCATCCATTACAATTTCAAGATATGTTCATCATTTAAGGGAATTATCTAAATCTATTTTTTGGCAACTTTCTGCATTAACATAAATTGTTTAGAAGTACAGTGGTATTGAGGAATTCATCACTCAATGTTCATATGTCTATGTCTAGTTTTCTGAGTAGTCGTAATAGGGTATTAATTGTTAATCATAGTGACGAGTGTGTAAATCTTGGCATAAGTTCCATAGAAAAACTTATAACTTTCAAATATGGCTTTGGAATTACTTTGAATGGTGCTTTCAGGCACACAGATTACAGCAACACTTCCCCATCAAAGTTACTATAAAGAAGCTGTCTTGTAAAACTATCATATTAATATTTGAGTTATTTTTATTGTATGTGAAGATTTTGCATGAGCATTTTCTCATCATCTTTGTATAAACAAATATTTTAACTTTTTTAATTAATAAATATTTTAAGCCAATTCATTTTTATTTTTTAGTCTCTAGCATTAGAATTCAGACAGTATTTGGTTTGAGAGCTACTATATGTATGAGGAACACATTGCTGTTGCCCTTGATTTTTATGTAAATTTTTACTAATGTCAACTGGAGTTATGAGAGCATTGAGGACAAAATAGATCCCACAATAACAATAAATTATATAAAGCATCTAGTGTAAATCAGTATAGTTCCATTGAAGTCAATAGAGCTAGCCCATTTTATACCAGCCGAGGAGTAAACTGTCCTGTGTCTTCTTTCCATATTCCTTGCAGTTTCTGAGCTTATTTCTGTTAAGATCTAACGTAAATACTTTAGAGTCGGTCTGGATGCTTTGCAGATTTTCTGTTTTCTGCTTGAAATTTGCAATTTCCTCCAAGTAAAGTTACGTATTCCATAGGTATTTCTCATGTATTTCTTACAATTTAAGAAAATAAAATCTACTTATTAAATTTAAATAATGACCCCAAAGAATTCAAAATGAAGAATGGGCTTAAATTGCAGCAAGGGAGGTTTAGGTTGGGCATTTGGGAAAATTTCTTAACAGTCAGGGTAGTTAAGCACAGGAACAAATTGCGAAGGGAGGTTATGGAATTTCCATCACTGGAGGTTTTTAAGAACACCTGTCAGGAATGGTCTAGTTATTACTTAGTCCTGCCTTGAGTGCAGAGGGCTGGACTAGATGATTTATTGAGGCACCTTCTAGTCCACTACTTTTATGATTCTATGAACCATTAAAATGAAGTGTGTATTGTATAGCACTGCAAGTGGCCAACTTTTAAACCAAAAATGTTAATGTCCTGCTGTTCTGCTGCTTCTTTTGGGTATATATATTTTTCATCTTTGTTCATTATTTAAACTTTCTTCCAATTTGATTTAAGTAATATAGCTGATGAATCACATGAAACAGAGCAGCATAACAACATAGAGAGGACCTAATCTTACGTCCATTGAATGGCAAAAATCCCATTTATTTATCCCATTTATTCAATGAAAGCAGGATCAGGTCCCAAAATTCATACTGGCAATGGTGTGAAACCATGTTGTTCTATTAGTATCACTCTGTTACATAGATGCTGTCGTTTTATGTAATGCAAATAACTGATTTTTCAGTTTGGTGGCCAAAATGAAAATTTGGGGAAAAAATTGTTTTGGCTTGAACAAAATATCAAAACATTTTGCTTTTGAGGGTTTGTAATTTCTTTAAATGTTTGAATGAAATTCTGAAATATGTCTTTCTGAACAAAAAAGGTGAAACATTTCCAAAAGGCAGAAATGAGCTGTCAACATTTTTTTTTAATCGACAATTTGCCGAAATCAACCCAAATTTATGAATTGTTTCAGTCGAATCTGCCTTTTTTCATGGAAAAAATGGTTCACACAAAAAATTTCAGCCAGCTCTAATTTTTATGTGCATTTTGTATTCATTAAAGTGCCAGACTGATACTTCAGGATGAAGTGAGCTAGAGTTTAGAAGGACAGAGGGAATCTTTTGTGTGATTCATCACAGATATACCAACTATAATAAATGGCCAATGTGCCTACACATGCAGCTTGGAAGTTTTATGACACCCCACACTCTGCAAGCTTTGCTTTGATGGTTATCTGGATGTTACTACCAGAATTCACTGATGTGTGTCTAGCTATGTGTAGCTCAGAGATATGTGTGAAGTATCTTGCTTAGACAGGTGCAGTTCACTTACTGTAAATATGGTGTGACTGGTGAGTGCAGACCACTAAAAGTGCATGGGTCTTTCAAAAGAAGGAAGTTCTTCCAGGTTAAATGAATGGAAGACACATTAAACTCATGAAGTCTTACTCCAGTGAGAGAAGACCACTCAATTTCCAGTGATTTGTCCTGTGTTGCTTTAAGTTTTAAATATATTTATCTCTGTAAATCAGAAGAAAGAATAGTCACCTTTATATCTAAGTAAAACAATTTCCTGTTTTTTTTTTATTTAATCCCTTGCATTGTTGGAAACCGTTAATACAACACCATTGTTCTAACTAATGCATGAGACTTGTCTGATTCTCTTAGTGTAGCAGAGTGAAATGCAAAAAGTAAGCACCCTAAATGGTGATATGTAACTTCAATTTTAATAATACTTTCAACAATAATAATCTAAAGGCCAAATTCTGCTCTGTTCTGCCATTCTAAATCTAGAGAAACTTCACTAAAATCAATGCAGTTGGTCCAGATTTAATTGACCAGAATGTGTCATATTACAACAGAATTTAGCATATTAGATAGTAGGAGTAACACATGTAATATAAAGTATTTAACTTGACAGTTCCCTTCAAGATTATACATGTTGACATGCTCTTATCCAAAATCATATATTGCTGCTTATCTTCTGTCACCTTGCCATGATGCTCCTAAACCTAATCTGAATTTATATATAAAAAAAAAACCAAACACAAATAATGACATCTGCTCTCCCCTGTATCTTATTCCCATAGACAAAAGGTCAAAAAACAGAAAGTGACTTTGTCAGTTGAGTCTGTCATATTTCTTTCTATGCTTTCCTACACAAACTTCAAAAGATTTACCAGTGTCAGAATTCTCCTCAAGAAATGGGCAAAGCCAGCATTCAACAGTTCATCCCCTTTCTTCGGGAGCACAAAATGAAACAGAGCTAAGTAATGAACATATATTAGGAGACTACTGGAAAACATCGTGTGTGTGTGTGTGTATACAAAGACTGTAATGAAAATAAGATACAAACTGATGGACAGTGGGATGCCATATTTATACTCCACCTTATTCTTTTGTATGGCTTAAAATCAGCAATGTTAGATGTCCAAGTCTAGGTTGGCAATCCAATTGATTACTTCAAGTGATACAGAGTGGATGTCAGAGATACTGCTGGGATATGATCATTTGGGACATTGATTGATGAGTTAGAAGTCTATTTCTGCAGTCACAGATAGGATTGTATCCGTCCCCATTTATGAAGAAGGTAGGTGCTTCTGCCATGTGAGGTGTGGATGCTGTTCAAGGTGGACCATATTTTCCATGGGAATGAAAAGCCACTGGATTGTTTGGTCTTTAATAAGGTATTAGTTGGAGATATTGGTGTCCTTCCACCTTGCTTGCCATTGATCTTTGGGGGAAAAACCCAAGTCTTCAAGCTCTTATGCTATAAGTCAAAGATTTTCTGGATTTGATTCATAATCTTGGTGTATTATGTAGGTCTTCATATTTTGGAAGAGCATCTATTAGAAATAGTTTATTCCCCTGATTACAAATGAGTGTTCAGGCATGTTTGCTCATCTGGCTTTGAATCCGGACTTCCCTTTTGAACAGTTAGGATAGAAATGCCACTGCCAACCTTGTATATATGTTCTATACATGACAGGCCATAATGCGATATGTGCAATTTTTCAGATGTTGGGAGCATTTGCCTCCAAATCTTGTGCCTCAGAACATCAGCTGAGGTATGTGTATACTGTAACACAAAACTCAAAACTAGTTCTTTACAGGCCTGAATAGTTGTATATAGATACAGGAGCATGGATAATGATTTTCATAGATTTTTCAGGCCAGAAGAGACCATTACAATCAATTTTATTCATGTACCATTTTTGCCATATTTGTAATTAAACAAAACATTGATATATTTACAAATATAATATTTATTATTCATGCATAATATGCCAGAGAAACTCCCTTTAATAAAACTTTATAGTACAGTCTCATCTTGATTTGTGGGTTTTTTTGCATGTACAGAATCATCTTGTGGATTGAGATAATATAGAATATAGGGTATCCATGAATATATTTGAAAGCATTTATTTTTATTGTTTAGATTCATGTCACTTTAATAAATGTAAATGCTCTATGAGCTGTGGGACCCTGAAGATCTCATAAGTGTCATTTTTCCCTTTCTTCTCTGCGAAGTTTTAAAAGTTTCACAACTTTTCTCTGATCTAGAGTATTTCGCCAAATGCTAGAATTTCCACGACAATGCTGGTTCCAGTCATTGCAGAAATGTGCCAAGTATGACTGACTGATTTCACATCCAATCCAATCGGTTGGTGGGTCAAGTGAGGGAATTTGTGCAACTGTGGATTAACAGTGGGCACTCATGTTAGCACTGTGGCTGATACTGACAGCTTTGGCATTGCAGTGT